CTGGGTGGCTCAGTGGGTTAAAGCCTTTGCCTTCAGCTCAGGTCATGATCCTAGGGTCCTGGGATTGAGCCCCGCATGGGGCTCTCTGCTTAGCAGGGAGCCTGCTTCCCACTCCCACTCTGCCTCCCTCTCTGCCTACTTGTGATCTCTGTCTGTCAAATAAATAAATAAAATCTTTAAAAAAAATAAAGTATAAGCAGAAGACCTCAATAGACATTTTTTTTTAAAAGAAGACATCCAGAGGGCCAACAGACATATGAAAAGATGCTCAACATCACTGATCATCAGGGGACTGTGAATCAAACCCATGATGAGGTATCACCTCAACCTATCAGAAGGGCAGTGTCAGAAAGACAAGAACCAAAAAAAAAAAAAAAAAAAAAGGCGAGAACCAACAAGTGTTGGAGAGACTGCAGAGGAAAGGGAACCCTCGTGCACTGTTGGTGGGGGTATGAACTGGAAAAACAGTATGGAGGTTCCTCAAAATATTAAAAATAGAAATAGCATAGGATCCAATAACTCCACTTCTGGGTATTTACCTGAAGAATATGAAAACACTAATTTGTTCTTTTTTTTTTTTTAAGATTTTATTTATTTATTTGACAGACAGAGATCACAAGCAGGCAGAGAGAGTGGGGGAAGCAGGCTCCCCGCTGAGCAGAGAGCCCAATGTGGGGCTCGATCCCAGGACCCTGAGATCATGACCTGAGCTGAAGGCAGCGGCTTAACCCACTGAGCCACCCAGGCGCCCCGAAAACACTAATTTGAAAAGATATGTGCTTCGCAGGGTGTCTGGGTGGCTCAGTTAAGCGGCTGCCTGTGGCTCAGGTCATGATCCCAGGATTCTAGGATCGAGCCCCGCATTGGGTTCTCTGCTTAGTGGGAAGTCTGCTTCTCCCTCTCCCTTTTCCTCTGCCACCCCCATGGCCCTGTTTGTGCTTGTGCTCTCTCTCAAATAAATTTAAAACAACAAAAAAAGAAAAGATATGTGCATCTCTGTTCACTGCAACATTTTTTACAGTAGCCAAATATGGAAGCAACCTAAGCGTCCATCCACAGACGCATGGATAAAGATGTGGTACACACACACACACACACACACACACACACACACACACACACACACGGAATATTACTCAGCCATTAAAAAGAATGACATCTTGACCTTTGCAACAACACGGCTGGACCTGGAGGCATTATGCTAAGTGAAATAAGTCAGAGAAAGACAAACACCATATGATTTCAATTACATGTGGAATCTAAAAAACAAAAGAAAAAATAAAACAGAAACAGACTCCTAAACACAGAGAACAAACTGTTGTTTGCAAGAGGGGAGGGGGATGAGGGTGGGTGAAATAGGGGATGGGAATGAAGAAGGAAAAAATAAGTACAAGAGCAAAGGCCTCTGTTGACCCCACGCACCCCTTCTCTTTGCCCCTCTCAACCACGAACGCCTACATGCCTTTCTATTTGTGGGGACTCAGTTTTCTCTCTGGAGCGAACGCCGCCAGGCTTTCAACCCACTGTCCACTAGACTCCTCTCAGCATGGTCATCCCTGACTGCTCCCCAATTCCATAGTCCCCCCCTCCGATACTAGCAGGGTGCGGCCAGCCTCGGGACATTACCTGGACTCCTCTTTCCCGTCCCAGAACACCACCATGTACTCCTGGCCTTGGGAGGAGAAGAAGGATGTCTGCTTCCCACAGGGTAGCTGGTACATGAACGTGGCAAAAGTTGGGTCCTTCATCTGGCTCACCACCGACAGGGCCAGCGGTCGCTGAGGGAGAGAGGCCACCAGAGCCGTGAGCAAGGGTCTCTTGTGGCCAGATGGACGCCTACCCTGCCCATGAAATCGATGGTCTTGAACAAGGAAGGAAGGACTAGAAACTGCTCAGAAGAAGAAGCCAAGACAACTCCAGATGCCAGAGTGTCTGGTGGCCTGGGTCCTCACTCTCCATGGGAACTTGAACTTAGGCAGTCCCATCAGCTTAAACTTGATATTCCGACCCCCATGCCCACAGACATGCTATCTTGTGGAGAATTTTCCTCAGACCTTATTTTACTCCCAATACATCAAATCCATACTGTCTAATTTGATAAATGCATTTTATTTAACCTTGAAACCCCTGGCCTCTTACCCCAAACAGCTAAGCTTTAAAATATTATGACTCCTGCAGAGAAGGGTTGCCCCATTTGTTCTAGACCCTTAGCAAAGGATGGGCAAGTAGACATACATGTGGGCTCTGGACATCCAGAGCCTCCACTACCACAGGGGCACGAGCGGCCAGGCCCCCAGACCCCAGGCCATCGGGTACCTTCTCAGGCTTCGTGTCCCAGCACTCCATCATGAGCGCCTGGAGCCGATGGAACTGGACTTCCTCTGGCTGCCCCAGGACAGGGCGGATGCCCTTGGACAGCTTCTTGGCAATCTGAAGCTGGTGGTGGCCCAGTGCTGGCCGTTGTCCCGACAGCAACTCGTAGAGCACCATTCCATAGGAGAACATGTCTACCTGGGCAAAGAGGCAAGCCAAGTCAGGTCCCCAGCCCAGGCCCAGCAGTTTTCACAAGCTGGCCCTGAGACGGAGGGAGCAGAAGACCAATCGGACCAGGGATCCTGCCCAAAGGGACACAGTCATCGATCCATCCATCAATGCATCCCTCACTCCCCACCTGTCCAAACCTCCAACCAACCATTTGACCATCATTCTGTCCCTTTAGCCATCCATCTTCCAATCCTTCCCTCCTTCCTTCCTTTTCTTCTTTTCATCCATTATCCAACCATCAAACCATCCATCCATCCATCCATCCATCCATCCATCCATCCATCCATCCATCCATCGGGTCACACGGGCCTCCTTCAGAGGCAGGACATGGTTCCCTCCTTCCCATGAGCTCTGCTTGTTAACGATGTGACAGCAGTCATGGGCAGCATGTGGGTGTGCTTGCGACCTCCTGCCATCTGCCCCACAAGATGGGGGCTCCATGACAGCAGGCTCGGCGTGCCCGCCACTGCCTCCTCGGTATGGGCCTGCCACGTGGAAGGACTGAGTCTCGACCATCTCTGTGAATCCACCTGGCGTTCTGCCCCAGCAGATGATGTGTGCAGCTGAGCCTACCCTTGAAGAAATCGCTTCCAGCTCAACCTTCTCATGGAGGCACTTCTCGGACCCTATGCCTACACCCCCCACTTCCCACACCTATTCTGAAACGCCTAGATGGCCGTGCTAGGGTCCTGGGGTTGCCCTCTGCCCCCACAGTGAAGCGTGCCATCTTCTATAGCCAAAGGTGCAGGGACAGTGCTGGACGCTGGGCCCACCCCAGGCCTCCCTGGAGCATCTCTGCAGAGCTGGGAACAGAGGGCAGCTGCTGAGCCCAGATGCCTGGCAAGGGCTGAGGTGGGAGGGAGGAGTTCAGGAGAACAAAGCCAAAGCCACCACAGAGCAGGGACCCAGGCTTCGTGCCAGCACGGGTGGGCAACAGAAAGTCCCCTTTCTGGGACCTGGAGCTACCTGGGAACTGGGGAGGCCAGGCTGTCCAAGGTAACGAAAGCACAACAGCAAGGTCAATGAGCCCTAAGAACATTTATCAAAATCCATCCTCAGAAATTTCGGGAAGAAGGCAGCCAAAGCAAATAGGAGCAGTGTCTCTATCTGAATCCCAGCTCTGGGCCCCAGTCAGGGCGGTGAGCCCCACGGTCCGGCTGGGTGTGAATGTGCGCGTGCAAGAATGCAGGGGCCTGCCGTCGTGGCCACGGGCAGCACAGCCTCCGAGGCACAGGCATGCTGACAGGGAGGCTCCGCACAGAGCCCGCTTTATTCCCCTTGGTTGTGCGGGTGGTGGTGCCCTGGTTCGGGGGCTCTGGCCAGCAGTGGCCTTAAATAACGCTTTGTGTCATGTCCTCCTGGGCTCTGGGCAGACGGGGTCCCGAGCTGCCCAGCCTCGCCCATGGGGCATGGTCGTAAATGATTCTAGGGTTCATTTCAGACTTTTAAAAAAATTTTTTTTAAAGAAATAGACTGTAGTTGGGCAAAGAGCATATCTATTTCACGACTGTTAAGAAGTCATAATAATGCTCTCACATTTATCCAAGTGCACAGGTCCAGAGCTTGGAGGATGTTATGCTCGGAGAACCCTTTTCAACCTCTTCTTATCCTTGTTTTCCAGATGGGAAAACTGAAATTGGATGATGACAGCCAACATGTTTTAACCAAACACCACTAATAATGACACCCTGAGCGTTGACGAGGAGCAGGGAGGACCAGCAGGGGATGGGGCGGCAGGGTAGGGGGCGAAGGCAGAAGAGCAGTGCCTGGGGTCGGAGGCCCGAGAAGCCAGATGGCACCACTGAAGGGCTGGGGCAGCTTCTCAGAGCAGGCTCGGTGGTCCCTGACCTTGAGAACTGAATAAAAGGTGGTGTGGCAGAGGTGCATTCCTAGCAAGAAGGGTCACCCCAGAGTGCGGTGCTGGATGGGCGGGGAGGCTTGTCCACCCTGCAGAGGTGCCGGAGACCCAGGCTGTGGGGATTGACCACCTGGGGCTCCATTTCAGAGAGGTGGGGGCTAGAAGATCAAAGACAAAGAGGGACCCAAGGTGTAGGGCTGACTGTGGGAACTCCAGAGGCACGTGGAGCTGGCTGCTCCCCAGGGGTGTGGGCAGGGCTGCCTGCACATGTCCACTGCTACCCGAAGGGGAAGGGCACACGTGCAATGGCTATTTATACCATCTGTACCCCAAAAGCGCTTCACCTGAATCTGGGACTGTGGTATTTGCAGGTGGAATGCAAGCTTTCCCCTCAGCCCTGAGTTCTGCTCTGCGAGTGCCATGGGGTCCTGAAAAGGCACTCATGATGGTCTGTCTCTCTGAGGCTGACTGGGACCTGACCCCGGGCTCGGTGGACCAAGAGGAACTGGCTTTGCTCCCGCTTCTCATACCCCCACCCCCAAGCCTAGGGGGGACACCCCAACAGAAGGGCATCCACCTCCCCCCCGCCCGACCTCACCTTTTTAATAACAGGCACTGCCAACAAGCAGGTGACGACCGCCGGGGTGTCCAAAGCCCGTTGGGGTGTGTTTAAGGGGCACATGCCCTTGAGGCTATAGATGTAGATCTTCTGGTCCTATAGAGGTAGACAAGCCAATGTAAGACCCCAGTGGGAACATGCCTGCCATTTTCTCTCAGGGTCCCTTCTGCCTTGGGAATCCCTTTGTGCCTTAGGAAGCAACCTTGACCAGGCCTTTCTGGTTGGCTGGTTGCATCTTCCTGTGCTTTGCAGGGATCTTGAAAATGACACGAGTTTAAAGAAGAAATATAGAATCGCCCCTACCCTGTTACCTGGAGAAAACCACCACGGGGACTTGGGGCCCAGACTTCGTTTCCCCTGAGTGTCTGTGTGTGTGTCTCCGCATTCCCGGCCCAAGTGGGACTGCCTGACTGTGCTGTTCCCTCACCTTTCCCGTTACAACTCATGGCAGGTGGAGGGAAGCGTGTGTGAGCGTACTGCCCATCGCCGGGGGGCGGGGGGCGGGGGGGGGGCGGCACAGCCTAACCTGCTGTCAGAGCTCGGTCTGTTCCCAAGTTTTCACTACCGGGACTTACACTGGGATGAGCCTTCTGGCAGACACATGTGTCTGTCCTCTGAGAGGCGGGGCGGGAGGCACCAATGCCCCGCCCCCTCGCCACGCCCCACACAGCTCTAGAGCGTCAGAGCATTCACTGGGGCCTGTCCCTCTGGATTTCTCAGAAGACAGCTCCCAGGGCCTTCGGCTGACTTCCTTGATGTGAAGGCAAAATGCCTTCAGGGCTGAGTGGAGGATTGGCTGGGGAGACCCTGCAGTGCTATAAGAAACCCGGTGACTTCACCAGCCTAATGGAGTTCTCCTTTCGCGGGGATCCCGCCCCTGAGACTTCTCTCGACTGAGTCCAGGTCTCGCGCAGGGACAAGGCCGGTCGTTACCTTTGGGGACACGCTGCGCTGCTGCTTCTTCCCAGGGCTGCTGGCACTGCTCTGGGGGTCTCACACGTGCGGGCTGGGGTTATCTGGTAATCCCACGTACCTGGGCATCCTGTGATCCTCTTTGCTAAATCGCCCCCCCCCCTCAAAATAAACACGGCATGGACTGCGCCCTGTGTTGCCCAGCTGGATGAGAGCCCTGCGTGGGGTCACTTACCTCGGTGGCCGTCCACAGAGAGTTCTGGACCTTGAGCTGGCAGCTCAGCTTCATTCCCGCACAGCTCATCCTCTGTACTTCCATAAGGCCCTTCTCCGTGTTCACCACCGTGTAGTTCCTAGAATCCGGGTCAATTGTGGGGTCAGCACGTGGTGGCCTCCCTTCTCTTGGCTTGGCCTGAGCAGCCTTGGGGGGAGGACGTCAGCTGCCTCCTCCAGCCCCTCCAACCCAGGGTTGAATTTGGCCACGTTCAGAAAGAATCCAGGACCGTTCACGGCGTTGGGTGCAGGTGGATTCTGCTTCCCTTGTTTGAACGTTCGGGCTGTGGGAGGGCATTCCCCATGGGAAGAAAGGCTGTCTTCTGTCTGTGATGTTGGAGGGTCCGAGAAGTTGCCCCCCGGTGTGAAGAAGGGACACAGGTGGCCGCATTTCCATCAAAGCCACTCACCCCTCCCGCTGGCCCTACCTGCTACAACTCAGGAACAGGGGAGCCCCTCCATATCAGAGCAGACAAAGTCAAGGCTAAAGACAGATGGGTACATTTCAGAGTAAGCTGGGGGTCCTTGAAACACGTCCCCCAACACGAGTGCTCTGAGAACTAATAAGCTGTCATTTATGAGGGCTACTGTTTGCTCACTGGAGCTGACCTGCCCCTCGCATTTCCGTCTCCCCACTATTCTTCATGGGCATCCAGTGTCCTCACTGTCTGAAGTGGAGACTGAGGTTATTGACCAAGGTCACACACATCTTTTGCACATTTATGTCTCTCAGTCTATAGACTGGCTTCCCCTCCCCTTTCTCTTTTTTCTCTGGCAGGTTATGTGCTGAGAATGCTGGGGGTGTCCTGTGCAGTCCCCACATCCCTGGGGTGTCATCTGTCTCCCTTCTCCCCCAAGTCTCGAGTCTTGATCAGATTCTGTCTGCTTTTTTTTAGGCAAGAACATTTCCTCAGTGGGGGTGTGGATTTCTGTTGGGAATGTCCTGTTCTCACTCCTTCTGTAATCATGAATGATCACTGCCTTATATCCATTATTTCAATAGAGATTGCAAAAGGCTGACATTTTATTTCCGGCATTCTTTATTTATGTATTAGCCTCATTTATTCTAAAAAGAGAAACTTCCTCCTTTTCTCTCTTTTGCTACCCTGGGGTAGAGTTCACATAGGAAAGGCAGAATAAAACCTTGATTCTTTCTGAATATACTAGTTTTCAAAATAATGGGTCAGAGCCTCCAATGGTCATCAATGAGGGGCTTTTGTTTAAGACTTAATTTATTTAGAGAGCATGAGCAGAGGGAGGGCACAGGGAGAGGGAAAGAGAGAGAGTTTTAGGCAGACTCCCTGCTGAACATGAAGCCCGATGTGGGGCTTGATCTAAAGACCACGAAGTCATGACCTGAGCTGAAATCAAGAACTGGACACTTAACTGACTAGAGCTACCCAGGAACCGCAGTTTGTCTGTTTTTATTTATTTATTTTTGTTTTTATTAAGTAGCATTAGAAACACATGAATTAAAAAATTTGACGTGTCTCATCCCACAGCAATTCTTCTTACTAATGGCCAACTGCCCTATCCTTGGCCAGCAGGAACCACTCTGGGTTGACTCCTAAATCCCTTTAATCTCTCCTCACGAGTATCTGATGGCATCCTTGATTCTGGTGTGTCAGATGTTCCGGCCATCTTCCTGTCCCAGACCTGGAGTCAGCCACCCCTCCAATAAGCCCTGGTTCCCTATGATACTTAGAGTACTAAGTACTAGGGTGTTTAGACCCACCATCTGGGTCCCGGAGGTCATCATTGCTAGGTGGTCATTACTGGTAGGCCTTATCAATGGGCAGGGCTAGGAAACATGAGTTTATTTTTCTTAAAGATAAAATCTATCATGAATCCAAAAATTTAAATTCAGAAGTACTGTTTTTTTTTTTTTTTAATTTAATCTATCTTTCATACTTTGCTTGCTGAATATCACAATGTGTAATGCCCGGTGATTTAATTACTGAAAAAATATATATTTGCATATATAAATATTAGTAAAAATAAATAAATATACACACACACCAATATACATATTTCTTTAGGGCATGGTTTCTTAGACCATGTCTTATGTCAGAGTGCTCAGTCCCCACGGCATTCATCGTGGCGCAAACGTCACCTGGACAGATCTTGGGAAAATGGCAAAGTTCTTCCATTTTTCTCCTCGTGTCTCAAGCTCCACTTTATCTAAGCATTATTGCCTATGTTTGCTATGAGGCTTAGAAGATTATTCAGGCCATGAAATGCTCTTGTGACTCTGAAGATGTCCCATGAGGGGGTGGAAACACCTCATACCCTGACCAGGACTGGAGGATCTCACACCAGATGGTGGGTTTTGGAGACTACAAAGTTGATCTTTCCAATACCTGGCATCTTGGTCCTGTGACCTCCTGTTCGTTTCCCAGTGATCTTATTCTCAGCTTACCCCAGCCACCTTCTCCCAAAGTTGCATGTTGCATCCCGTCTTTGCTAATATTTGCACCCCTCCCACCCACTCAGTGTCAAGGATCTATTTTCTGACCTCTACCCCTGAGTTTTCCAGAACATTCCACCCACTACCATAACATCACAGAGTTTTTGGTTTTGTTTACACTCTGCTAAGATCTAGGACTCTCTGGTACTTTCCATGATTCCTTATCCATTTTATGGCCCCATCATTTTATGACCCATCTCTATCATGACCCTTTTGAAAATACCTGCACTGCCCATGTTTAAGACTTAATTTTGTTTAAGACTTAATTTATTTAGAGAGCATGAGCAGAGGGATCTTATCCTCTCCCTCCTGCCAAAAACCCAACTCTGCTTAAAACCAACTGTTACCCAGCTTGCAATCTGGGGGCAGCAAAGCATGCTGGGGGCACAGAACCCTGTGCATGAGCCTTATTTCCAACACATGACCTCCATCCCCCAGAGGGCCTCAGGGCTGCCCTGTCACCACCCTGGTCTCATGTGTCCATGCTCATGTCACATGTTGTGGTCTTCTCGAATATTCAAAACCTATCCCGATGCTTCGTCCTTCCTGTCACCTCACTGAGAAAAAGATGCGACTAGAAGGGAAGGCCCACAAATTGCTTATGCAAGGGCACCAGTCCTGCTTGGTTCTGGGTCCCCTGCCCCTCTCGCTACTCGACAACCCCACCCCAGTCACTGTCCTCTCTCCCTGACCCCCGGCATTATTTGCTCCTTCTGCCACCAAGCTGCAAATAGCACCCATCTTAAAATCCACCCAGGATGGGAGAACTATTACAACTAATAGGTGACCTGGGTAAAGATGCAGGGTACAAAATTAATACACAGGAATCTGTTGTGTTTCTGCACATTAGCAGAAAGAAAAGTTAAGAAAATGATTCCATTTACAGTTGCACCAAAAAGAATAAAATACCTAGGAATACAGTTAATCCAGGAGGCGAAAGACATTGATAAAACAAACTGAAGAGGACATAAATAAAGGGACACATGTTTATGGACTGGTTGAGTCACTATTATTCAAACGTCCATACTACCCAAAGTCATCTACAGATTCAATGCTCTCCCTATCAAAAGAGCATCAGCATTTTTCATAGAGCGAGAACACATAATCTTAAAATTTGTATGGAGGCCACAAAAGACTGGAAAAGCCAAAGAAATCTTGAGACAGAAGACTAAAGCTGGAAGTATCACAATCCCTGGTTTTGAACCATAATGACAAAGCCGTAGTAATCAAAACAGAATGGTACGGGCCCCAAAACACACAGAGATCAACAGAACTGAATAGAGATCCCAGAAATAAACCCATACTTATGTGGTCAGTTCCTCCACAACAAAGGAGGCAAGAATATACAATGGGTGGGAAGACAGTTTCTTCAATCAGTGTTGTTCAATCAGAACTTGACAGCCACATGCAAAAGAATGAAACCGGCCACTTTCTTACACAATACACAAAATAAACTCGAAGACCTAAAGGGGGGACATGAAACCATAAAACTTCTTCTTCTTCTTTTTTTTTTTTTTTTAAAGATTTTATTTATTTATTTGACAGACAGAGATCACAGAGAGGCAGGCAGAGAAAAAGAGAGGAGGAAGCAGGGTCCTGCTGAGCAGAGAGCCCGATGTGGGGCTCAATCCCAGGACCCTGGGATCATGACCTGAGCCGAAGGCAGAGGCTTAACCCACTGAGCCACCCAGGTGCCCCAGAAACCATAAAACTTCTAAGAGAAAACAGAGGCAGTAAACCCTTGGGACATCAAGCTTAGCAATATTTTTTGGATCTGTCTCCTGAATCAAGGGCAACAAAAGCAAACATAAACTGGGACCACAGCAAACTAAAAAGCTTTGGCACAGCGAAGGAAACCATCAGCAAAACGGAAGGGCAAGCTACTGAATGGGAGATATTTGCAAATGATAAATCTGATCATTTGATTAATGGGTTAACATAAGGGGTTAACACCCAAAATATATAAAGAGCTTATACAATTTAGCACCAAGAAAACAAATAATTGGATTAAAAAATGAGCAGAAGGGGCACCTGGGTGGCTCAGTGGGTTAAAGCCTTTGCCTTCAGCTCAGGTCATGATCCTAGGGTCCTGGGATTGAGCCCCGCATGGGGCTCTCTGCTTAGCAGGGAGCCTGCTTCCCACTCCCACTCTGCCTCCCTCTCTGCCTACTTGTGATCTCTGTCTGTCAAATAAATAAATAAAATCTTTAAAAAAAATAAAGTATAAGCAGAAGACCTCAATAGACATTTTTTTTTAAAAGAAGACATCCAGAGGGCCAACAGACATATGAAAAGATGCTCAACATCACTGATCATCAGGGGACTGTGAATCAAACCCATGATGAGGTATCACCTCAACCTATCAGAAGGGCAGTGTCAGAAAGACAAGAACCAAAAAAAAAAAAAAAAAAAAAGGCGAGAACCAACAAGTGTTGGAGAGACTGCAGAGGAAAGGGAACCCTCGTGCACTGTTGGTGGGGGTATGAACTGGAAAAACAGTATGGAGGTTCCTCAAAATATTAAAAATAGAAATAGCATAGGATCCAATAACTCCACTTCTGGGTATTTACCTGAAGAATATGAAAACACTAATTTGTTCTTTTTTTTTTTTTAAGATTTTATTTATTTATTTGACAGACAGAGATCACAAGCAGGCAGAGAGAGTGGGGGAAGCAGGCTCCCCGCTGAGCAGAGAGCCCAATGTGGGGCTCGATCCCAGGACCCTGAGATCATGACCTGAGCTGAAGGCAGCGGCTTAACCCACTGAGCCACCCAGGCGCCCCGAAAACACTAATTTGAAAAGATATGTGCTTCGCAGGGTGTCTGGGTGGCTCAGTTAAGCGGCTGCCTGTGGCTCAGGTCATGATCCCAGGATTCTAGGATCGAGCCCCGCATTGGGTTCTCTGCTTAGTGGGAAGTCTGCTTCTCCCTCTCCCTTTTCCTCTGCCACCCCCATGGCCCTGTTTGTGCTTGTGCTCTCTCTCAAATAAATTTAAAACAACAAAAAAAGAAAAGATATGTGCATCTCTGTTCACTGCAACATTTTTTACAGTAGCCAAATATGGAAGCAACCTAAGCGTCCATCCACAGACGCATGGATAAAGATGTGGTACACACACACACACACACACACACACACACACACACACACACACACGGAATATTACTCAGCCATTAAAAAGAATGACATCTTGACCTTTGCAACAACACGGCTGGACCTGGAGGCATTATGCTAAGTGAAATAAGTCAGAGAAAGACAAACACCATATGATTTCAATTACATGTGGAATCTAAAAAACAAAAGAAAAAATAAAACAGAAACAGACTCCTAAACACAGAGAACAAACTGTTGTTTGCAAGAGGGGAGGGGGATGAGGGTGGGTGAAATAGGGGATGGGAATGAAGAAGGAAAAAATAAGTACAAGAGCAAAGGCCTCTGTTGACCCCACGCACCCCTTCTCTTTGCCCCTCTCAACCACGAACGCCTACATGCCTTTCTATTTGTGGGGACTCAGTTTTCTCTCTGGAGCGAACGCCGCCAGGCTTTCAACCCACTGTCCACTAGACTCCTCTCAGCATGGTCATCCCTGACTGCTCCCCAATTCCATAGTCCCCCCCTCCGATACTAGCAGGGTGCGGCCAGCCTCGGGACATTACCTGGACTCCTCTTTCCCGTCCCAGAACACCACCATGTACTCCTGGCCTTGGGAGGAGAAGAAGGATGTCTGCTTCCCACAGGGTAGCTGGTACATGAACGTGGCAAAAGTTGGGTCCTTCATCTGGCTCACCACCGACAGGGCCAGCGGTCGCTGAGGGAGAGAGGCCACCAGAGCCGTGAGCAAGGGTCTCTTGTGGCCAGATGGACGCCTACCCTGCCCATGAAATCGATGGTCTTGAACAAGGAAGGAAGGACTAGAAACTGCTCAGAAGAAGAAGCCAAGACAACTCCAGATGCCAGAGTGTCTGGTGGCCTGGGTCCTCACTCTCCATGGGAACTTGAACTTAGGCAGTCCCATCAGCTTAAACTTGATATTCCGACCCCCATGCCCACAGACATGCTATCTTGTGGAGAATTTTCCTCAGACCTTATTTTACTCCCAATACATCAAATCCATACTGTCTAATTTGATAAATGCATTTTATTTAACCTTGAAACCCCTGGCCTCTTACCCCAAACAGCTAAGCTTTAAAATATTATGACTCCTGCAGAGAAGGGTTGCCCCATTTGTTCTAGACCCTTAGCAAAGGATGGGCAAGTAGACATACATGTGGGCTCTGGACATCCAGAGCCTCCACTACCACAGGGGCACGAGCGGCCAGGCCCCCAGACCCCAGGCCATCGGGTACCTTCTCAGGCTTCGTGTCCCAGCACTCCATCATGAGCGCCTGGAGCCGATGGAACTGGACTTCCTCTGGCTGCCCCAGGACAGGGCGGATGCCCTTGGACAGCTTCTTGGCAATCTGAAGCTGGTGGTGGCCCAGTGCTGGCCGTTGTCCCGACAGCAACTCGTAGAGCACCATTCCATAGGAGAACATGTCTACCTGGGCAAAGAGGCAAGCCAAGTCAGGTCCCCAGCCCAGGCCCAGCAGTTTTCACAAGCTGGCCCTGAGACGGAGGGAGCAGAAGACCAATCGGACCAGGGATCCTGCCCAAAGGGACACAGTCATCGATCCATCCATCAATGCATCCCTCACTCCCCACCTGTCCAAACCTCCAACCAACCATTTGACCATCATTCTGTCCCTTTAGCCATCCATCTTCCAATCCTTCCCTCCTTCCTTCCTTTTCTTCTTTTCATCCATTATCCAACCATCAAACCATCCATCCATCCATCCATCCATCCATCCATCCATCCATCCATCCATCCACCTTGACGGCTTATCCTTCTGTGTATTTATCTATCTATATTTCTGTCTACCCATTCATCCATCTGGTGATCTGTTCTGCTGTCCACATACCTATCCATCCTCCCATACTTCCTTCCATCCAACCATCCACCCATCCACTCATCCATCCATCCAATAAATACACACGGGGACCATGCTAGCCATCAGGTTAAGGGCTCCAAGGATGCTACACTCCTCATCCTTGAGAATCAAGAAAAGGCAAGAGAACACGGACCCTCAGCTAAATGTGCTTGGCACCAGAAGGGCAGTGTATGCAAATCATAAAGGGGGAATATCTCCTAAGTCACGAAATGTTGACTCCTCTAAGTTTAATGTCCTCAAAGGGCCCCAAAAGGAGAAGTTAGTTTAGGCCTCCATGAGGGCCGAGAGGTAGATAACATTTTAGCAGGAGGATGGGTGAGGTGGACCTGAGAGTTTTCGATGTGAAGGTTCCTGTTATAATCTTAGTTTCAAGGTGCCTGGACTGTGTCACCTGCCACTTAAGAAGCTCTTATTTTTATCACTGTGATTTGCCTTTTCTATTTTGGTTAATAGCCACAGGTGATGAGTTAACCCACACACGCTAAGGTCATTCCTTTTTTTAGAGGGATGGAGGAGGGGCAGAGGGAGAGGGAGAAAGAGATCCCAAGCTCAGTGGGGCTCAATCTTGTGACCCTGAGATCGTGACCTGAGCCGAAACCAAGAGTTGGACAGTTAACTGACTTAGCCCTGCAGGTGCCCCACTAAGGTCATTCTTTTCTCCTTTTTTTTTTTATCTGAAGGTGGCCAAAAGGTACAAACTTCCACTTATAAAATATCATGGGGATGTAACATACAGCATGGGGACTACAGGCCTGTTTAGGTCATTCCTGAAGCAATCAGGCAATGACTCATCTGTAAATCACCAAATAATGGGGGCACCTGGGTGGCTCAGTGGGTTAAAGCCTCTGCCTTCAGCTTGGGTCATGATCCCAGGGTCCTGGGATCGAGCCCCGTATCGGGCTCTCTGCTCAGCGGGGAGCCTGCTTCCTCCTCTCTCTCTGTCTGCCTCTCTGCCTACTTGTGATCTCTGTCTGTCAAATAAATAAATTAAAAAAAAATCACCAAATAATGAAAAACTGTAGATCAGGGGAGTTTCAGTGCTGGGCGACTGATGAACCAGGGCTGGCACTAGCTAGAACATGGGTGTAAGTTGTCTCTGTGCCTGCCGCTACCAAGTGGCTTTCAGGGAAGAAAGTAAACCTTCAGCTAACATCTTGGCTGAGGCTGGCCAGGCAGCAGCTCGGGGAGGCCATGCTTGTCCTGTTAGAATTCACTCTCTTCTCCTGGCTTTGGCGATGCTGCCTCAGCACTGACCTTGGGGAACACCTTGGGGACAGCACCTATGGGCCAGGAGCCTTTGCCGTCCTTCTTCTGACTGCTCCATATGAGCCCCACAAGGCTGGTCCACTGTCCCCACTGTATATGTCTAAATGGCAGAGCGGGGAGCCAAATCCAGACCCGTTTCTGTCCTGGACTCACCTTGACTATGTCTCTGAGTCAAGGTTAGAGACTTCAGAGGTGAGAGACTTCACTGTTCCTGAAACTAAGGAGAAGTTAAACTTGACCTTCCTAGTGGGCACAGACCCCTGTGCATTTCTGGTCCAAGCCAGAGCCCCCTGGTGAAGCACGGGAGAGGGAGAGGACTGTGCCTGGGGAAACAGAGCTCAGAGGCTGCATGAGGTCTGCCTGGCTGGCCTCCCAGAGGCCGGGGGGCCGGCAGTGGGCCGGGGTGTGGGTACCTTCTCGTCATACACGATGCGAGGCCTGATCTCTGGGGCCTGGTAGCCGGGGGTGCCCTCCACGCCGAGGGCACCCTCGTGAAATGACTGTCGTGAGATCCCGTAGTCTGACAGCTTGATGTTGATGTGGTCCTTGACGTCCAGAGACCAGACCAGAATGTTGTCCGACTTCAGGTCACAGAAGATGATATTCTTCTTGTGCAGGTAGGCTAGGCCGGATGCGATCTGGTAGGCTATTTTCTGGGTGAGCATGTGTCCCAGGGGCATAAAGGAAGAATCTTTGCAAAGAAAAAAAAATACCAAACTACCATTATGACAACAGTCTTTCCTCACCTTCTCTCTCCCCAGATACTTTGTATCCTATGGACACTTCTCATTCTCCATGCTGGAGGCCCACGGAGACAGAGAGGGACCTTCTGAAATAAAACGGTATTTAGGAGAGAGATGCTTATTTCTACAGCGTCATACATGCTACTTCATGCCTGGAATTGTTGGTGTTTTTAATGAAAAGGGCAAGGATTCAAAATTCCTAGAGTTCATCGCAGGCCAAGCTCGTGCTACGGTCAAGGGGTAGACTGCGGGAGTAAGAGTTTCATTTAAAAAAAGTTCTCCTCCACTGAGGGAGACATGATTTGAGTTTAATTGTGTTTCTTCTGCCTGAGTCACGAGACCACAACCTCTCTCCTTCTGTCCGCTCTTTGGAACTTAGTTCCCTATTCATGTCCTGAGGAAAATTATTGTAAAAATTCATTAAAAAATAACAAAAAAAACCTGACCTCAGTTTTTTGTTTGTTTTGTTTGTTTGTTTGTTTTGTTTTTTGTTGGTTTTGAGCGATGATGGATATGCGTTGCGTGTTCTGGAGAAAGGAGAGCTTTACGTGGCTGGTGGGCGTGTGAGCACCAGGCTGCTGCTCAGGCTGCCCTGGGCTGCCTCGTTTGAGACCCTCAACTGCCCCCACCCCTTAGTGGGACTATTATCACCCTCCTTTTATAGGCCAGCACATGAGGCACTTACAGGAGTACAGCAGAGAACCAGGACTTGGAAGGTGGCTCCTTCCAACTCTAAACCATAAGCTTCTGCAGCCCCACGACCACCACCACCACTCAGGGTATAGACCCGGGGAAGTGCCTTTCTTGGCCCACAGGGAGTCGGTGCTCTGCCCCCGACAGCCAGGCCGGGCAGGAGGAGGGAACCCCCGGGGATCCAGCTTCCCTGGGGTCTGGGCTACCAGCCTCCCACAGGGGGCGGGGGGTGGTGTTTGGGCTGTTATCTGGCCGGGCCCCAGGCAATGCCCCGGGAATGTTCCGGAGCATGACTGGTACCTTTGGCGTTCTCCGACAGCACGGTGTTGAGGCTGCCGAGCGGGGCGAGCTCCAGGGCGAAGCAGAGCGGGTGGATGCTGATGCCGATGAGCGACACGATGCAGGGGTGCTGCAGGGCGTGCAGCATGCTGGCCTCCTGCCGGAACTCCGAGAAGTTCTTCATGGCATCGGTGGCCCGCAGGTGCCGCAGCATGGTGTCTGTGAGGGAGGGCGCGGCCGTCAGGGCTGTCCGGGGAGCCCCTCTAGGGCCACTCAGGGGGGGTCCTGCCACACTCAGAGCTGCCCCGCGGGGACCGGGGACCGGAGGGGCTGAGGGGGCAGCACTCACATTTTAAGGCACTGACACATCAGGGGTGCGAAACTGTCCCCCAAAATTCGGCCCCAGACGGTGGTGTTCCTGAGGCATTCAGGCTGGTACGGGGCGCCTTCCTCCTCAGGTGCCAGACTCATCCCAACACAGTGGGCTGTTCCTGCCCCTGCTCCTGCGTGTGTCCCTGTCATCCTGTCACTCTCGGAGCCCTCACCCCACCCCCTTGCTGGCCTCCGGAGGGTCACAGCCGTGGCTTATTCTGGTTCTGCCTCCCTGAATGTCACCTGGAGCCTGGCTCCAGCCCCAGGACGGGCAGGTAACCGAGCCCCGGCTGCTCGTCCACAGGGATGCTGAGGGCGGGTCCACCTGACTCCCCGCTGGTAGCCTGGACCTCCAAAGGCAAGAAAGAGCCAGCTTTCTCTCCTTAGCCAGAGAGAGACCCGGGGCCGCCGTGGACCTGTGACACATCATCTCAGGCCAGAGGAGAAACATCTATCAGCAGGAGTGGCCAATTTCCAGCCTGTGCTGTAACCCCTGGAAGGTGGCTGCCCAAGGGCTCTCCTTCTTCCCCACAAAGGGCCTCTTCTGCCAAATGGGGGGGTGGGCAAGATGCTACCCACTGGTCTGTGGCTGGCCCTGAGGTCACCAAGTGGGCTCAACCAGGCCTTGCTTGTCCTCCTTCGTCCCCATCTGTACCTCCCCTACGTTCAATCTCAAAATCAGATATCCTGCTGGGCAGGTCTCTTTCCTTCGTCTCCCTCTCTAGGACTCTCAGCTGTTCTGGGGTATTTTGCCATTTTATAGGCATTTAGACTCAGTGAGTAAGACCTCCTTCTCTCTCTCACATACACACAGGCACGCACATCCTCACTAGGATTTAAATGAGAACTGAACGATATGCAGTAGTTATCCCTCCACACTTGACGCTTTATTGCTGCCTTCGTCGTCTGTGAGAACGCTGCAGAATTCTGAGGTTGAGCTCACGTCTGGCAACTCTGGGAAACTTTTACTGGCTCTCACATTTGTCAGCAGACTCTCTGGGATTTTTCTGTGCAGGAAGTCATTCTCTTCCTATGGTAACAATTGGTCTCTTCCTTTCTGATCTTTCTCTCTTTTTTTTTTTATATTGCTCTGATTCTGATTTTCCTACCAAGTGTGTAAATGACCTGAATGATCGTAAGGATGAACACGCTGAGCCGGGCCGGGAGGCGGGGTGAGACACATGATATCCTGCCGGCTGGGAGTGAGGGGCTCACCCAGTACCCGTGCCAGCCGGGTGTAGAGTGGTGATGGGTTGCTCTAGGTAGAGGACATCTCTGAGCTGCACACAGAGTCTGGGCCTGGATGTGCCAAAGCAAGAGATGGTTTCCTCCTTGCTGTGGGTGGCGGAGAAGCCGTCCCCCGCTGGCTTCCCCATCCATTCACCCGGACCTGGCCTCCCACCTTCCCTCCTTTAGTGGACATGGCTGAGAGGGGTCCTGCAGGATGAGGGTCCACCTGACGTCTGAGTGTGTACTCATCATGTACCAGGCTTGTGCCGGCCACGGAGCCGATGGAAACTGTAAGGATGGCTCATGCTCTTGGGGTCTTGCCTCTAGACGAGAAAATAATCTCCCAATTTCCAAGCGTGGCTCAGCCCAACCTTTAAGCCTGTCCCACATCCTGCCAGGAACAAGGCAGGTCGGCTGCCCAGGGACCTCCACCGGCCTCGTCCACCCTCCTCCTCCAGTCTTCCCGAGGTGGTCGCAAGTTTGGACCAAGGGAGCACGGGTCTCGAAAGAAACGACACGGGGCCCTGTTTACCCGCTGGGGCATTGGCCAAGTTCTTGAATTTCTTGATCTGGAACCGTTTCACCGCCACAGGCTGGCCTTGGTACCGGGCCCGGTAGATGACAGTACCGCTCCCGCCCTGGCCCAGGACACTGCTGTCGTCCTCGCTGTGCTCCAGCTTGCTGTTCTCCAGGAAGAGTCTGCCAGAAGCACAGCACATGGGTCAGAGCGCATCACCCCAGCTGGTCCCTTACCGCCCTCCAGAGGGGCCTACTGAGGCGGGGGCAGCCCTGGGATAGGTGGATGCGAGGACAGCCTTGGTCATTTCTCCCACAGCAGGGAGTCATAGTTCAAAGCCACCCATGGGGTCAGAGCCAGGATAAGCCATGGCCGCGGGCAGGTTACGTAGCCTCAGCAAGCCTAGTTCTCCTGCATAAAGTGGGCTTGTAATGGAAACTGCCTCGTAGCGTGTTGGTGGCACAGGTGGATAGCACAGGGGATGTCTTGCAGAGTGGCCCACATGGAAAGAAAATTCTTTGGGTGTTTCCTTCCCAAAGATTCTGGGCTTTGAGGGCTAGCACCCATCAGACAAAATACATTTATTCACTGCTAGGTTGATCGTTTCCTTATTTCTTCTTTTTATTAAGCGGAGCATGATGCAAGTGGCCACGGAGGGCTTCTGAGGGGCAAGAGCTGTGTGTGCAGTCGCTGGTTAGGGTTTCACCCAAGGGCAGGGAGTTTAGACCCCCCCTGGTCGGTGTGTTCTAATTCTAGATAAAGGGGAGATTCCTTCTGGGCTTTTGGGAAGACTGTAAGTCACTCCTGGAAGGGAGGGAGAGAGACAGAGAGGGATGACAGGAGGCAGGGAGGGACGGGGAGGCAGCCCAGAGGCCCTCCGACTTCGGGGCCTCGCCCTGCTCTGCTGAAGTCTGTCCGGGTCCCTCACAGGCTGCCTAAGCCAGGTGTCTCCCTTGGAGCCATCCAGGCCGCACCAGGGAGCCCACCAGGCAGTTCGGTGCGGTGGGGGGGAGGGGGGGGTTCCCGCAGAGAAGCCGGGCTCTTCTCCGAGTGCTCTCTCCCCAAAACGGCCAGCATGGGCCGTGTGGGTTTGTGGGGAGCAGCAGCAATGCTGGGGAATCCCCTTGGGGCATTCTGTTAGGACTCCTGTAAACTCGGGGCCACCAGACAGGGCTCCCCGGATGCCTGGTAATCCCCTCCCCCAACCCCGACTCGCCCAAACTCCTGGTGTCGGGGGTGCGATGCCTCAGCGCCCGGGCTGGGCCCCAGCTCAAATTTCCAGGGAGCCTCTGCTGGGCTGGGAATCCCGTCCACATTGTCAGGCTTTTCAACTAGTCGCCAAGTACCTTCAGTGAAGGACCAGGCTATGTCTGCCATTCGATCCAAACCCAGCAGGCTTTCCTGATCTCATACAGTAGACGCCCCAGCCCAGATTCAGTGTGGGCAAAAAACCCAACAAGGTTCAGCAAATAAATGAAAATCCTAACATTTGGAGCTGCCCCATTGGGCGCCCCCCCAAAACCTGATCCATGCTTCTATATGACTCTGGATATGGTCTCCGAGAAAAGATAATCCTCACGTTAGGGTTCTAGGAATAAAGGGAGCTCGTTTTGCAGAATTATCATTTCAACCAGCGAGGTAACTGGGGCACCTGGAAAGGGTTATGGGGTGACATCATCCAATGTAGGAAGCAATTTCTTAATTCGATACACCGACCCATATCCTGCACTATCTCAGACTGCTGCACATGGATTCTCTGGGATAGGGGCAATTTGGAAAAATGAGAATATAAATATTCTTACCCCCACCACCCAAAAGTTTACTTTTCTTTAAAGAAGCCAGGTATAGCCATCTTTTGACTAAGGCAACAACGGGACTTCATAATTGCAAAATAGTGGGTCACCGCCAATGTCAAATTATCTCCAGGGAGACCGAGTCATAGCTTCCGGTTTCCACGACTAGAGAACAGCCACTCTCTGACCCAGCACTTGGATTTTGTGACCCTTTCCTGTTGGGTGGGACCAAAAAGCCTTCTCTATTTCTCCAGCCTTCTCTCCGAAGTAATTATCTGAGGTTATAGGTTGACTTAACTGCAGGAACAGAGAGGTAGGGGACCCAAACGCCCAGCCTCGGGGCAGCCGGTAGGAGTCTGCATTTGCCAAGAAAGGAAAGCGAGTCTGTAGGTCTGGGAGCGCCCCCTTCTCGAAGGCCAAGGAGAATTTTCCTTCTATTCCTAAAGCTGGCAGGAGAGTAGGGATCAGGGGAGCAGCGCTGTGGCCCTACCTGGCCGGGAAGTCGGTCATGAACAGCTCGGGGACCAGCTCCTGGAGAGGCACGGGCAGGTCGGGGTGTCTGGGGCAGGAGATGAAGTCCTGCTCAATGGCCGTGAGCACGCAGTCTTCCATGTCAAAGTACTGCACACCCTCCGCCTTCTCACTCGGGTCCGTGTGCTGGGCCCAGGAGGTCTCACACACCGGGCAGGGGACATACTGTTCCATGAGCGGGGTCCCATCACTCTCTGTGGCTGTCAGGGCTAAGTGCAGACAGAGCAGGAGACAGTTTACATGAAGGCGGCCACAGGTGGGTCCCCAAGCAGTGTCCAGGTTGGGTGGGCTTTTCATAGGAGGGGATCTGGGTGCCCCTGCCTGGACCTAGGGAGTGGCTGAACCATGACTGTGTCCTTGGGTTCTTTCTTGGAGAGTGAGATCCTGAAAGCTCAGCATCGGGAAAGGTCAGGGATGCACTGGACAAGACAGTGGGTGGTCTAGACCCTCAGCAGGCTGGCTAGGGAGGGGCTGAGAGGTCGGGGATCCCTCCTGCACAGCTGGGCCCCGACAGGATGCTGCGGGCTGTGTCTGAGCTATGCCATGCTCCGGCAACTGAACCACAACCAATAAGGAGCCATTCTTAAAATTAGAAACATAAGGCTTGCAATTACTATGATCCCTCCTAGAAGGGCAATGCAGGAGAGAAATGAGTACAAATTATAACAGACAGAACCCCGTCATTTTACCTGGGGTCCCTGGGGCAGGAGACACACAGCTTTTCCACACGCCTCTGAAAGGAGGTGCAAAGAAGTAGCCTCCAAGGCGCCTCAGGGAGAACTGATGGCCTGCCTTGCGCAGGGTAGGAGGGGGGACTTCTAGAACTTTCTGGGCACATCTTATATCTGCAGGCCTGGTTGTAACACATCCTGCCCGCTGGCTTGTGGTGCTGTCTCCTGAGCAGCCCTGTCACAGGTGATAATGGAATGCCCCTCCCCCACCCCAGCTGTTAAATCTCCCCCGGGACCAGCTGTGGGGGGGGGGTGTCACTGGTTGGCGGGGCATCCCCAAAGCCCAGTGAGGCTCATATGGGTCTAGAGGCTTCCTTGGATGACCAAGGACACCCAAACTGTCACAAGTCACACACCAAATGCCTTCTCTTGGGCCCCTTTCTTTCTTTCATTTTTTAAAAAGACTTATTTATATATTTTAGAGAGTGAGAGAGAAGGGGGGAAGGGGAGAGAGATCGCAGGCAGACTCCCCGCTGAGCACGGAGCCTGACATGGGGCTCGATCCCAGGACCCCGAGATCATGACCCCAGTCGAAACCAAGAGTCAGATGCTTAACTGACTGAGCCACCCAGGTATCCCTCGTGGGCCCCTTTCTAAGCTTTTTTCCTTATAGGTCAGCTTTTCCATCAGCCCCGGAAGGCCCCCAGGCCCCAGTGTCCAGACCATGCATCTGAAGCATGGCCTGCCATGCTCCTCTCCTGAGGCTGGCCTGGGACGCAGCGATGGCTGCAGGAGACACACCAGCTCAGAGAGGCGAGGGCACTGGCCAAGCAGGTCTTGGCATCCAAACCCATTCTCCACTCTCTTGCACACCAGCCTTCAGAGGCTGGGGGCTCGTGGGGAGAGGCTGCCAGGTCTGCCCCACGCAGCCTCCACCCGCAGGACATCCCGCTGGTTTGTCTCTACTCTGGTAGCAAAACAAACAGAGGGCCTCAGAAGCTTCACTTCAAACAGTATTTTCTTTGGGTGGATTGTCAATGAAGAAGTGGATCAAAGGACCATGTGGTGGTTGGTCACCTCTGAGATTTGGGGGTGGGAGCTGGCAGGAAAGGAAAATGGGGGTCCTTGACAGGTGTGGCTCCCTTGCCGTCCCACCCCATCCATTGGGTCCCCCCAGATTTCAGCACCGTCCTCTCTGTGTAAACAGGACTTGTGTGAAGCATCCGTTGAGGGTCTCCTTGGACCAGGCAGGACACCCAGGCCTGTCTGTCTTCCCAAACACTGTGGGCAGCCAGGAAGCCAAGGCCTGCACACGCCCTGTGGGGTCTGGGCCCACATCTTCCCCATAGTGCCCAAACCTATGTCACAGCCGAGCTCTGCCAGGGATCAGGATTCTGCCAAAGAGCCATTAGGACCTCTCTGGTTTCCATGGGCTGAATCCCAGGGAGACTTCTGCTCCCCGAAGAATGAGCCCCACCCTGATTTGTAAAGAAATATTAACTGAACAAAGACTTGGTTCCAGAATGTTCTCTTACCGGGAAACCACTGATCGATCAGGGAGTTGACATGGTCTGTGATAAACGCCATGGCAGAGAAGTCCCTCACTTCTGACTGGCAAATGATTTTTATTCCTCCGCTTTTCTTCTTTTTCCAGTTCACATCGGATGATTCCACGCTGCAACCCAAAAGGGAGAGCCCACTGTGATCTCGCCGTGGAGGGCCCTGGGATGGTCTCCTTGCCTCCAGGCTGAGACCCGAACCCCAGGGAACACCTCACCCCTACCCTGACCCCAGGAACCTGTGCCCAGGCAGGACAGTCAGGGGGACCCCTGTGTTTGTGTACTTGTGTGTGTGACCCTGCCTTGTCCGCCCACCACTTCCCAGTCCAGTGATGCAGACATCACGGGGACTTTGCAGGAAGGTATGTTCAGGCAGGGATCGACCCCTAGGGGTGACCTTGGGGAAGGTTCTCGCCTTCTCTAAACTACAAGACACTCATTTGCCAGGTGGCAGCTGTGAGCTTTAAGTAGGAACATCCATTTTTTTAAAAAGTTTTTAAAAGATTTTATTTATTTATTTGACAGAGACAGAGACAGGGAGAGAGGGAACACCAGCAGGGGGAGTGGGAAAGGGAGAAGCAGGCTTTCCACTGAACAGGGAGCCCAACGCACGTGGGGCTTGATCCCAGGACCCTGGGATCATGACCTGGGCTGAAGGCAGATGCCCAATGACTAAGCCATCCAGGCGCCCCTGGGAACATCTATATGAAAGCACCAGCCACCGAGAAAGGTTCAAGTCAGGCTCTCAAGAGAAGATCCTTTCTCCCTCTCTTCTCATGGAGCTGAAGAGTATTTTGAAAAACTCAGTGTAAATACGAAACCATCTTGTGTGTTTATTAAAGCTGATTAAAAGTCATTTATCAAACCTCTCGAGCTGGCTTTGTCTTTCTGTATCTCAAAAATGGAAAGAAACCAGGAAAAGGGAGCTAAGTTATGTATCTTGTTATGTCACGTGAGGGATCCATGGTGTCCTTTGGGCCATCATCGCTTAGGACCAGGGGACAGGGCCAGATGGCAGCAAGGCTCCTGAAGGTGTCTCCTAAGTGACCACGGGGTTGCCAGCATCTCTTACCCCAGAGCTCAGTGGCTACCCACTTCCCTCAAGTCCTGGGCTGTGGTCACTATACCTCCCTTCACCTTTCCTGTCCTGCCAGGGGAGAGGAAGAGGGGTGAGGAGATGGGGGAGCTTGGGACAGCTGCTGGGGAGGGTCTCCTCTTTCTAGCAGGCTGCCATGATAAGCTGCTCTTGGAAGAACTTTGGACACCAAGCAGATGGTCCCCTGGAGGAGGCCACCACGGGGGCTGCTCCCACAGCACCATGGTGACCCAGTCAGGCACGTTTCCGACCATTCCTACCTGAGGTAGCCCCCATCAAAAGTGACCAGGAGCCCTTCCTGCCAATATATGGTCTGATTTCTTTTCACTCTGAATGTGCTGCAGCGATTTCTCTGGCTTCCTGTAAAACTATAAATGGTGACTTTCCTGTGTCTGCTTTTAGTATTCTTCCTGTTTTCGAAGAGCTGAAAGACAGAGAGAAAAGACCCTGCTTACGCATTCCAGCCTCCTCGCCGGTGCCGGACAGAGCTCTGAAGAGGCCGGCCTGGTCCCATCGTGATAAATGACGCCCGTCCTCCCCACTCCCTCCTCCCACACCGCACATCCCATTGCCAAATTAAACACTGCACGATCTGGAGGGGTCCTCACAACACTCTGGGAGCACAGTTTTCCCAAAGGACTGATAATAGGCTCTTCTTTTTCAAACCTTTTCCCTCCCTGATTTGACAAGCAAAAATTCATGTTAGAAAAATGTAGAAAATACAGGAAAACATACAAAAAACAAAAACAAAAACCCCAAAACAACTTAACACTAAGCAGAGAGATTTTGGTGTCTTTTATTCCAAGATTTTTTTTTTTTTCTGTCTACGTATATGTTTGGGAAATGGCCGAAGCCATATTTTCTAATTTTGTATTTCTAATTTTCTAAATTTCTCATTTTGGATGCTTTCAAAAACTTCATTTCCCCTAGGCCACTAAAAAACTCACATAACAGTCATTTTTCTAAAGCCCAGTGTTTTGTGAAATATAGTGACTTCCCGATCATTCATTTCTTGGAATGTCTGGATTGTTCCCATCGTCCACTCCCTCAAGCAAGCCAGGCCAATGATCCAGGAAAAGTCACAAAGCGTTCTCTGATTCCAAGTGATTTCCTTCGCTCACGTTTTTAGCGGTAGGATTATTGCGCCCAAGGGTCTGAACGGTTTTTAGGCTCTGGATATGGACCGAGGAGCCGCTGTGGGAAGAATTCGACCGTATATACACGAGCCACGGCATGGGAATGTGTCCTGCTTCTGGGGCTGCCACTATGGCTTCAGTCTGGGGCTTGAGACGTGCAAAGTGGTCAACATTTCATCTGTTGCTTGAATTTGTATGCCTCTGACTACTTTTGAGACTGAACTCCTCCTCATCTGAATTTTAATGGGACTTCTCCTCTCATTTGGAGGGAGGGCTGCCGCCTGGAAGGGCGCCCGCCCCCACGCCCAGCTGGGCCCCCCACCCTCCCTCAAGGAGCCCACTTGGGAGCTCAGGCCTCCCACGATGACAGCAACGCTGTGTTCTGTGACCTCCCACTTAGAACGCGGCAGGAGGACAGTTCAAAGGGAGGGCAGAGTGACCGAATCAGAACTGTAGACCAGCCAGCTCCTGTACCCACTTTTCCCATCATCACTGGGCCCCCCAAGCCTTGTAAGCAAGCCCTTCCCCCACCCCCCGCAACATGGGCCACAGCAGTTATGATTTTCAGGCTCTTGTATTGATTTTTTAACATTTCAGTAAAATGTTCAGAAGATCAAAGAACATCTTTAGTCAGCCATGGGGTTGTTAATTCCATAAGGGCCTTTTTCATTAGAATGTGGCAAAAATAAAACTCATAGTGAATTTAGCATCAATTATTCAACAATTATTCATAGTGAATTTAGCATCAAATATTCCAAGTTTTTGCCAGGGGTGCTCATACTGGGTCAGAATCCTCTAGAAGGCCTGTGAAAATCAGAGCACTGGGCTCTGTCCTGGAGTTTCTGACATAGTGGGTATGTGTGTGGGGGGCATGGATTTGCATTTCTTTTTTTTAGAGAAATCTTAAATATTTATTTGTTTCCTTACCATTGTATTTCATTATTTTTTAATTTAATTATATTTTTTCAGTGTTCCAAGATTCATTGTTTAAGCACTATACCCAGGGCTCCAGGCAATACGTGCTCTCCTTAATACCCATCATTTCTAACAAGTTCCCAGGTGAGTTTCTGGAATCCCACTTTGAGAAACGCCATTCTAGACAAATACTACTTCCGTGTTACTGTTTTGCATTAAGGGTGGCGGAAAGCCAGCACTCCTTTTGACCCCCTACCGGGTGAATCCACGGAAAGGAACTGCTTGGGTCAGGTCTTCATTGCTTCCAGCCCAAGTTAAAGATCCACACCAGTGGTTCTCAGACTTGACGGTGAAATCACCTGGCAAGTTCTAAAAACTCCCAATGCCTGGGTGGCGCCCCGAGAGAGTCTGATTTAGGCAGCCTGCCCTCTGTCCGTGTCTGTCAGAAACTCCCCAGGTGAGCTCAGGCCACTGCCTGAGCGGCAAAGCCACGGTTCTCTAAGTGTGGTCTCCAAACCCGGGGCATCGCGGGGGACCATGGTTATATACGCAAAAGGCCGGTTCCCAGTCCTCACTCACTGCATTGGAACCTCGGAGGGCGCCCGGACATCTCTGTTCTAACAAGGGGATTTCTGATGTGGACTGGTTTACAACCACAGCTCCTAAAATGTGGACTCTGAGCCAGCTAGGGGCTGGTTTCTTATTCACAGAAGGGCGCAAAGGGGTCTGCCAGCCACAGAAGAGAAGGCAGCTGTGCTCATGTTGGCCTCCTGGGCTTAAGGCAGCAGCTTTGCTACAGAAAAAGGGGTTTCAGTCAACCCCTTCCAGCAAAGGGCCTCTCCTTCCCGGGAGAGCTCAGCTCTGGGTGCCCTGCGTGCATTCCCCTTCCCTCCACCCCATCCCCCCTCGGGGTAGAAATGGCCTCTACCTGCAGGTCCATCTCCGCTAGGCTGATCAACATCCGTGCTATAAACCTTTGCCAGAAGCCGACGGGAACAAAACTCATCTTAAACACTCTCTGAATGGTGTTGGCCTTGGGGTGCCGCATGCCGTGAGTGTCCAGGCCGGGTTTGGATGGAAGGAGGTGTGGCAGAAGGTAGCTGGAACACATCAATGGGGACAGGTGAACGGCGTGGCCTGGCCTGGGACCCCTGCCCCAGTGCCTTCCCCCTCGCAGAGCCTCTGGAATTCTACTTTTATTTTTTAAATAAAAGTTTGTTTTAAAGATTTTATTTATGTATTTGACAGAGAGAGAAAGTGGGATCACAAGTAGGCAGAGCAGCAGGCAGAGGCAGAGGGAGAAGCAGACTCCCTGCTCAGCAGGGAGCCCGTCTCAGGGCTTGATCCCAGAACCCTGGGATCATGACCTGAGCCAAAGGCAGATGCTTAGCCAACTGAGCCACCCAAGTGCCCCTGGAATTCTACTTTTAGACAGACAGGGTAGTTTCTGTGTTTGAGAATAAATGGTCCAAGAGGAAATGAAGAAGGGGACAGCAAAGGTACCTCTTGAAAGACCTCTAGGACAGCGACTAGAATATGTTAAGGTAAGACAGGAGAATGTCTGTGGTCATAAACACATCAGACATAGTAAGTCTCAGTCTGTTCACTGCAAAGGGGGCTGTGACTGGGGAATCGCTTAAAATTAACTTTGGATGGCGAAGGAAACACAAATACAGCCGCACAGTTCCAAGGGCCATGGAGACATTGGGGTCAGAGTCATGTTTCTGGCCTTCGAAGCTATTTATTGTTCTTGGACGGCTGAGATAACACCATCGCCTTAAAAGTTAGAATGAGGCTGTTTGTGCACGGAGGGATGTTTTATGAGAGCCCTCTTGCTCAGCATAAAAGTGCTGAGTCACCGAGTCAGCTGACAACAGCCGAAACTGGGGAGGCCCCTCCAAGAGCGTGCCTGAAACCCAGAATCTTCTGTGTGCAGGGAGCTGCGGGAGCAGCCATGGGGTGGCCTTTTGTGGGTTCTTTTCTGAACAAAGACTGTGCCTTCAGCTCCCCTGAAGCTTTTATTTTATTTTTTTATTTTTTTAAAGATTTTATTCATTTATTTGACAGAGAGATCACAAGCAGGCAGAGAGGCAGGCAGAGAGAGAGGAAGAAGCAGGCTCCCCTAGAGAGCAGAGAGCCCGATGCGGGGCTCGATCCCAGGACTCTGAGATCATGACCCGAGCCAAAGGCAGCGGCTTAACCCACTGAGCCACCCAGGCGCCCCATCCCCTGAAGCTTTTAAATATATCAGTTTAGCGCCAATAAAGTGTCTTTAGAATGTTCTGGATTCTACTCTGAAAATATCGTAGAAGCGTCCATTCCAGCTCTGTGCCTTCAACCCTGCAACCCCGTGCAGACTCTCCTTTCCTGACATGGGAAGAGAAAGGACACCTGCCCCAGAGGGTTGGTTGCGGGGGGCGGGGGGGGCCCGACAGGGCAAGCCAGTGAGGTTTCAGGTCCTTTTCAGCCACTTCGGGTCTGGGGTAAGAGGACCTTCTCATTCACCCCAGCTAGAGTGTCTCTCCCTCCACCCACTGGCCTTTACCCAAGCCTGACTTAGTCCTTCACGTTCTGAAAAGTCCTTGTACATCTGCTCCCCGTCCCTCCCCAATCCAGAGGTCCTCATCAGTGCCTTGCCATGATTTACGCCACTTCCTCCGCCCACACCACACTCAGCGTGGAGCTCACACCGGCCACGTCCCGCAGCTTCCCTCTCTCCCGGGTGGTGCCGAGTTGGGGGGGAGGGAGTGGGCTCTGCGGCCAGGGGCACCGGCGCAGCCCACACTGAGCAGCTGCTCCACGTGGCCAAAGGCAGAGACCGCTCCGAAGCCAGCGTGGGAGAGGAGAGATGCCAGCCGACGGGCCACGGCTGCTCTGCTCCAGACCACCGACACCGGCTCACCTGCTGGAAAGTGATCGCTCGTGGCGAAAGGATGAACTGGGGGATGACCAGACGGTCAGCAAGATGGGCATGGAAGAGGCAAATTCTTCCTGTGTCTGCTGAACAAAACCTTGGTCGGTGCGGGGTGTGGGGGGGAACGACCGTGTCTCTACGGAGGAGCGAGCCCACGCTACACCACCGTGACTGCCAGGAGCTCCGTGGGACAGGAGCTTTCAGAGACGCAGGGCAGCACTGTTAACCAAATACACATTCATGTGCAAGGAGAGGGAACTTGCCTAGGGCACAAGGGAACCATTACACCTGTGCTAAAATGGAAAATACCCGGACATTTGTGACTTTCTAGGGAACTAGATACCACTGGCTTTGATGACTTAACATAGAGGGAGGGTAATAATAATAATGCTTATGACACCTCATGTCTTTGGAGGTTTTTTTTTTTTAAGATTTATTTATTTTAGAGAGAGAGCGAGAGAGCGCGAGAGAGCAGGCATGTGTGCACATGCACTAGCAGTGGGAGGGGGAGAAGGAGAGAGAGAATTTCAAGCAGACCCTGTGCTGAGCAAGGAGCCCGACTTGGGACTTGATCTCAAGACCCAGATATTGCGACCCGAGCTGCAACCAGCAGTCAGACACTTAAACGACTGAACCGCCCAGGCAGCCCATCTTTGGAGCTTTTAAGGGTAAGAGACACTTCTCATATTCTACATGTATTATCTGATTTAATCCTCACAATAATTATAATACCAGTTGACGATAGTCTTATTCCTGTTGTACAGATGAGACAAGAAAGGCAGCTGGGATTCGTATGCAAGCATTCTGGCCCTGTGGTCTCACCCACTGGACTATAAGCCTTCCAGAAGACTCGGCCATAACCTGGGTAATTTTATGGTTCAACCGGTCATATGTGTGTGCAGAACCGACTTGCTTTTATTGAGTCCTGGTAACCCCTCATTCCTCTTACCTGTTGGTAAAATAACTGGAAAATTCTCTGATTTCGGCAATACTGTAAACTTAGAGGCTGCCTCATTTTGCATGGACCAAAGTCAAAGACATCCCTTGTTCACGGTATGAGGGATCATGCAGACTTTCAATCCCTCCTTGGGGTTTCTCCTTTTAGGATCCCCTCGTGGCTCCCAGGGGGCTGGAGGGACAAGAGGCCCTCTCCCACAGTTACACGATTGAGTGGAAATCTGCGGGGTGCCTCGGGCACGGTGGCCCAGCTCTGGCTCCTAGAGGCCCAGTCTATGCAGGTGGAGTCTCTGGGCTGGCCACACAGGGTCCAGGCCAGCTTCCCAAGAGTCTCAAGTGGGCATGACCCCAGAGGTCTAGGACTAGCTCTAGCTCTAGGGAAGCAGGTGGTGACACAGTCTACGGTACGTGCGTGGAAAAGGTCTGCGGGTTTGGGGTCCTGGTTACTGCCTCGTGGGCGACATCAATATCAGACCCAGGAAGCAGCTGAAACTGAAATTGGAACACGGAGGCCCTGTGTGCCCAGCCAGCTCAAAGGCAGCATCACTGGATGGGACCCACACGTACCCACCCCCACCCCGGGCCCTGCCCCCCTGCATTTGGAAACCAGGCTATATAATTAGTGTCCCCTTGTCACTTATCCCATTTGCATTCACCAAATAACCAAACAATCCACTCTCTAAAATATGAGCCCCCCCACCCTGCAAGATATTTTTAATGCCATTCATGCATGTTTTCTTGTATTTTTTTTTCAGTGAATGCGTTTCTTTGAAGCCCCTGAAAAGAGACCCCCCCGGGGCCCAAAAAGGAGAGGACAGCCCAGGCGGGCAGGTCATCCGTCCCCACGGCCCGTGTCTGGAGCTCTTGGTCAAGCCCCCAGTGACCCCAAACCCCACTCCTTCCCTGGGGGCGCAGCATGAGCGGCCCGGTCGTGGCCTCACCTGTCGTTGGCCACAGGCAGGGCGATCTCAAACTTGGCCAGGAACTGGAAATACTGTTCCTCTGTCTGCTGTGTGAAGCCGGTCCCCACCAGCAGCATCCTGAGGTCTTCTGCCCGGATCACCCCGTTCTTGGCCACCGACCGGGAGCCCTTGATGTTGAAAATCCTCTGCAGACATTCGGACAGCCAGATGGGGTCAAGGAAGTAGAGGTTCCTCAGGCCGTGGCTGGTGTCCGGGAAGTGGAGCAGGGTGCCGGTTTCTATGAGGAAGCTGATGGCTACCCAGGGAAGGGGAGCAGCGTCAGACAAAGGGTGACAGGGACTCTAGGGTGAACTAGTCCCTAGGGGTCCGGGTCACTGGTTCTTCTTGGGAAGCAAGCAATGCCCCCAGCACACGTGGCCCTGCAGATGGCTCTGCTGCCCCGTCCCGGGTGCCCTAGTGGCACCCCGGAACTCTTGCCAACCTGCTGATCTGATGGCCCGCTGGGGAGCTCCAGCCCGCCCACCTCCAGCATTCGCAGATCCCATCTTTGCAAACGTCCCTACTCTTTAAACCACGGACCCCCCTTCGTGTCACAACCACACCAAGTGCTCTGACGGTCACTTGCAGACAGGTGCCAGCAGTGAAACACGGGACTGCCCCTTCCCAGGGCTCCCCCTGCCCCCACCCCCCCGCCGCCCTCTGGGGTTCCGCTCACCGGACTGCAGGTCCTCGTAGTCCTTGATGTCCTTGTCGGGCATCTGCTCTACCAGCTGCTCCAGCTGCCGGTCCGTCAGGTACTGCACGTCGTCGCCCAGGCTGCGGCGCTGCTGCTCGGCCAGCATGGCCTCCCGGAGGCTCAGGTAGCTTCTGGGGATCTGGGCGACAGGCGGGCTGGCTGGGCCCCCGAAGCTCCCGAGCTGCGCCCCGCCTACCTGGCCCCACCTGCTGCCCCCCACTCCCCGGAGGCCTGAGCGGGTGACCTTCTCCTCTCACCCGCTCACCCCTGCACCCCCTCAACCTTGCACCCTTGCACACCCCTCCCCCAAAACTGCTTGCATGGGGACCAGCGCGACTGAGCACGCAGCATAGGTGCTGGGATTCCCGACAGAAAGGGAGCGCCACCCCCCCACCCCGGGTTGCAGCCGGAGGCCTGAGCACGCACCAGCCTCCCCGCAAGTCTCTGACAGCCGATGGTGCTGCCCACGTCCTTCATGTTGCACGTGACATGGAAAATCAGCTGCCGCAGCCCCTCGTGGCCTTCCAGACTCTTACAGGAGAGCTCGCTGTGAGAGCAAAACAGAACGTGATCCCTCGCCACACGGCTCCTCTCCGACAAGCTGGGCAGCATCTCTGTGTCCCTGGGTTTTGTCCCTCACGCGGGCATGTTAAAAGGACCCGGGAAAGGTGAGCGCAGAGACACGCATTAAGGGCCCACTTGGTGCAACGCTCTGTGCGGGGAGCGATGCACTGTGTCCCGAGTGCACCCATTTTACAGAGGAGGAACGTGAGGCCCGAAGGTGCAAGGTGACCCCCAAGGACACAAGCTGGAAAGGCAGAGGCAGGTTGGACAGGTCCTGTTATCGCAGGCCTCAGGGGTGTTCTCAAGGGCACATGAGGGAGTCCTGAAGCTCTGCATCAGGGTCCGTGCGATCCTGTGCTCTGAGGCAAGCGGAAGTGACCCCGGCTCATCCCTGCACCAGGACTGCAGCACCCCACCCAAAGGGGGGGGGACCCAAGAGCCCCCAGCACAGCATAGCAACCCACACTTGCTTCCTACGACAGAAGTCGTGCTTAACTCGCTGAGCTCCTTCCACCATCTGTGAAGAGGGCACAATGGTCCCCATAACCCACGGGACCGTCAGGAGCCCAGGGACAGGAGGGGAGAATCAACAAGTTCAGGGCCTCGATCCCACTGGCACCGGCTCGGACCACTCAGACCCAAAGTGAGGACCAGGACCACATGGGGGGCCTGTGATCCGTCCAAGATCAGCAAATGGGACAGGTGGTACACGACTTTCTACATCTGGGTCTCACGGGGGCCGTGCACGCTCAACACAGGCCACAGGCAAGGAGGGGACCCTGAGGAGGGGACCCATGGGGTAGGGAGGACCCACACACCTGGGGAGGGGGTGTCCGCGCTCTGCCCTGCCAATCCACGAGCGGGAGCTTGTCCTACCCGGGGCGGGGAAGACGGACACGTGAGGGCGCCGCAGCCCCAGCAACCGCTGGGCACCAGGTGCGAGAGAGCAGGACACTCACTGCAAGTGTTTGAAGGTGATGTCGGGGAAGCCTGTGGCCCGGGACCCGGAGGGTGAGCGGCATAGTGCCAGCACGTAGGCGCGCAGCGTTGCGATTCTCTCCACTCGGAATTTGGTTTCGATCAAGTCCAGGTGCGTCCCGACCACCAGCACCACTGCGTTTGGGGCCTTGGCCTGCCGAAGACAGCCCCACAGCTGAGCACAGATGCGGGACTGGGAAACAGCTCCCGGGAAACCTCCGGAAACCTCGAGGGCATGTTGTGCACGAAGAGGTTCCAGGAGAGGCATCCCAGATGGGCTGGATCTCTGTCCCCTCAGCCAGTGTGTCTGCCACCTGTGACCTGGCCTGCATCCAGGCTCTTACCATCTTTACCTATGAAAGGGCGGGGGGCTCTGTCTTCTTTTTGGGTCCAAGGTGGGGGTAGGCTCTTAAATTTAAGGTAGAAGAAAATGACGAGGGCGCGGACAACCATCTGGCTGAGGAGGGTTTTAAGGGCTCCACGGTGACCTATGAATCAGGGGCCCTCCTAACACCCGCCATGATGCCCAGCGTTTCTCCCTGACCATTTCCTTCCCCACCACCGCATAAAGGGGGATGCTTCGGAGAAGTGGTGGGCCCCCCATGAGGCTCCGAGGCCCGCAACCTGAGGGTCTGGCGTCTCCTCACCTCGATGTTGAGCAGCCAGAACTGGAGGCTGGCCACGGCCTCCTCGCCCAGAGCCAAGTTCCAGACCACCACATACAGGGCCTTGTCTGTGAAGAAGCACTGGTTGACGGTGGCCATGCTCGCGGGGCCACCAATGTCCCAGACAGTGAATTCCACAGACTCCACCTGCTTGAGCAACAAGAGCCGCATTTAGGAGGCATTTAGGACCACAGCCATAGTCACAGCCACACTGAGGTCACCGACGGCTTCCGGTGCTGTGCGTGGGGCCTAAGAAAGGCACAGCCATGGAAGGGCTCGGCCAGTCCTGCTGTCTCTCTTGGGAATCAAGGAACCCAAGCGAGGGAAAGGGACCCAGCAGTGCCAAGGTGGGACTTCTGGAAGCTTCTATCTACCGCTCACAGAGCACAGGGCCAGGCGCTGGAAGGCGGGTGCCCATGGGCTGGGGTGTTTGTGTCCACCTATGTCTGTGGAACACTGGGGACACGGTTGTGTCTCTGTCTCTGCAGCAGATGGTTAGACCTCCTACTGGAGGGAACCCCCGGGGCTGACATCGATGCTCATGCCAAGGCTTAACCTCCATCCATGCGAGGGCACGGCCGAGGACACGGGCAGAGCGCAGCGCCCAATGAGGGAAGGCGCCCCCCGAGGGTGATGGGAAGCCGTCCCGTCGTGGGAACCAAACAAAAGATTAGCTGTTGTGTTGCCGGGAAAGTCTGTGTAAACGGTGGTTTCTCTGTCATCCTGTGAGCTCAGAGTCTGGCCCGAGCAGAAAGACGGCAGCCTTCGGCACCAAAGGGTCGTTTCCACGACGTAGCCCGCTGGCCGCCGAGACAAGGCGTGCTGACCTGCTTTTGCAAAGGAATGAAAACGGACAGCTGTTCTCAACTGGCTGAGGGCCCAGACACACGGGCAGGGACGGGCCTCCGCGTTCGAGAGATCAGGTGCTGGTGGTCCCTTGACAAAGGAGGGGAAATTATAGCGCCGGCTGAAAGGAAGTGGGGGCCGAGGGACAGGAAAGATGGAAATGGCAATTCACCCCTCGGACCTCGGACAATCATTTGCTGAAGACCGGCTGGAAGAAAGTGATACTGAGTAATTACTCAAAAAACAAAAACAAAACAGAACAAACAAACAAAACCCAACAAAACGAAACAGGAGAGAATCCAGAGATCCTGGGTGGTTTTTAAGAGCCTCCGGACATGAGTTAGTGAGATTCACTCCTGGGGAGTCCTGGGGGGGCAGGGGTGGTGGTTCTGATACTACTACCAGGCGGAACTCTGCTCTCTAGAGAACCAGTGTCTGAGTCTGTTAAAATATATAACTTAAATGCTTAATGACCCGAACTTAGAAAACCTGACTTGGCAAGTGATCTTGTGCAGAAGACTCTGCAAGGGAAGCTGTCTCTAGTCGGCCCTGTGCTGGGGGCCGTGGGGGGCCATCGTGCAGCCTCTGGCCCCAAGACCTGTCTGTTTTGCCCTCAACAGCCTCCTCGCACCCGGGTCCTGGTGTGGTTCCGTGTAACCACAAATACGGCAACAGCTAAGGGAGGCGTGATAGGGGTGCGTTCCTTCCCTGAGCTGGAAGAAAGAGCTAAGCACTCGTGCTGTGCTCTATCCCCCCAACTCTTCTGCAGGCTCTTTCCCCCGATTCCAGGGCGAGCCCGTGTTCCTTTTCCTTTGGCTCATACTGAACAGAAAACAAGATGATTAATGGGGTCGCCAGAGGATTCGTTTTAAATAGGGCTTAAGAACTGGACTTTTCAGAACCTGGGATGGGAGCCGGTGTCAGCGGGGATGGACATTCATTCCAGGGGCGCCCTCAGCCTCCCCATCAGGGGCAGGTGAGCTGTGTCTTGCTGCCTATGGTAGCAGTTTGCTCTCTGCTCTCGGGGACAGCTACTCTGGACGCTTTGAAATGCCATCCTTAGGGCCAGGAGTGGCAAGGCCTGGCCACTGCTATCTTTAGAAGCCCATCAGAGAAATCTAATGGACAGCCAAGACTAAGAACCACTGGCCCGAAGCCTCCACTTAACTATAACAGAACAACCACGAAGTCATGTGAAGAAATTATTAAGAAACTATTCACCACCCTTGACAGGAGCTGGTCTGAGACAGCAGACAGTGGCTCTTATAAATATTCGGGGCCTGAGGCTCCAGGCTGTGAAAATCCCAGGCTCTCTGGAGAGGGGAGAGAGAAGGGGCCCGGGAATCTCCCTCCCGCCCACGGGGACTCAGCACGCCGACCATCCTTGACCTTGGCTCTTGAGCCAGCTGGCCTCTGGAGCTCCCACTTGGTGGTCCTGATGGTGGCCTCGCTGTGCACCACCTGGGGGGCCCTCCCCGTCTGTAAGATCTCCAGGAGGGTGGACTTGCCCTGGCGCGGAGGACCCACGATGATCATTTTCATCAGCTTGCACTTCTCTGCTTTCCGTAGCTGAGCGCGCAGGTAAGACAGCATCGCTTTGGGGCCTGGGCAAAATCACAGAGCAGGGAAGGTAGACGCCGCTGACGTATGGACGAGAACACGCTCGCAGCTCTTGGGAAACAAAATCCTGTCTTGAAGGAACACTTTCCCCATGTTCTAATGGGGGATGTGGAGAGGGAGATTGGGTTGGACGGTGCAGGGAAGCTGTAGTCATAATTATCCCAACAGTGGAGTCCAAAAGTCAAGGACCTAAAGACGGTATCCTTCCCGCCCACAAAATCATAGTTTCATCACGTGGTTAATTGCAGTACAATGGCGCTCAGACACCATCACTTTCTGGGTCATCTCTCTGCACCTGCCCAACCACGGGAGCCTAAGCTGCTTCCGGCCCAGGTCCTTAACGACTGGACTCGAGTCCTCTTTTCCCGGGGCGGTTGGGGTGGGGAGGGGTGCTGCCTCGGAAAGCCTACCTTCTTTTTTGATCTCCGCGGGCACGTTGGTGATGTTCAGGTCTTCGATGTCCAACTGCCAGAGGTTGCTCAGCTGCCCCAGCTCCGCCGGGAGCTCACGGAGGCCAGGATTGCTGAGGGGACACACACACCGTGGGAGGACACAAAGAACTACACGCATGCGTGCACGTGGCAGGCTGTCAGCCTCTGGGCCCTGCACCCCCAGCCCAACATCTCGAGCGTTCCGTCGAGACAGTTATCTCCGAAGCCTTCCTCGCTGGAAAGACAGCTCTGCCTTCTGCAGAGCCCCGTGGCTTAGAACCAGATTTCCTCCCCCAACATCCTCTCTCTTCTATCGATTAGGACGCCATAAAGATTATCAGTGTCTCTTCTCAAAAAGGCAACATAACCGAATTGATATTTTCATTGTTTCTCACACTGCACTCCCCAGCGGTGGCCAGTGGTAGGGATACGGCGAATGGAAGGATGAAGGACTGAGCAGTTCTCATTAGGACAGAAGGCGTCAGGCATCATGGCCTCTGCCTTTCCCTTTCCCACCTCTTTGACGAAGCCCGGTTCTCAAAGTCCCCCTGCTGCCTCCCCGTACATAGATGGCTTCCTTCCCCCGCCCCGGGGTCTGCGTCCTCAGATGGGAGACAGAAGCACACTCAGTCTCCCCCTGCCGGCTGGGTACTCACTTTCCCAGGTAGAGCTCTGATAAACTCTTCAGGAGGCAAACCGAAGGAGGGATGGCGTCCAGGTGATTGTCGTTCAGACAAAGGACTTCCAAACACTCACTTAGGAAGGCTGGAAATTCCAGCACCCCCGCTGCAAAGAGATGCCAAAGCAGAGGGAATGTTGGCAGAGGATTCTAGACCATCCCGGCATGGCCTGGAAGGTACCCGGGTGTGCGAGCTGGCAGCAGCCTCTGGGGGGCATTTCGGCAAGTCGACCTGAGTAAGGTGCTTGTCTTCCTGACCGAGGGGTTCTAATTCCAGGGGTTGGTCCTGCAGATGTCCCTGCACGTGTGTGACCAGGTTGTAAGGGCAGGACACTCCCAGGCACACTGTTTGTAACAGCAAAGACAGAAGACAGCCCTCCCCCCGCAGGGAGGCAGCTGATGAGCGACAGGGATAATATATAATTATTGCAAAGCACGAGGCAGGTCTACACGCAGGGGTGAAGCAACATTGGACAGCTACTGGTGAGCGAAAACGGGTGTGTGCAGGCGTGGGAGCAAACGCACAGCCCGTGCACTATGTACATTTCACATATATATTTTACAGGCATAAAGATATTACGCGATGCGGGCCACAGGCATACGACATCACAGGTGTGTGCACACGCACCACACGTGTGTGCATGTTACATGCCGCTACAGGCATGTGAGCACACACAGGCACACATGCGTGTACACGGATGTTAGACACAAACATAACGGTAACGCACACCCCACCACTGTCTCTGGGGAGGGGAGTGACTAGGAGACTGGATATTCATGCCACACCATCTGACACCATTTAAAAATTCTGTTTACGGCGGACACATCTTCAATTAAAAAAAAAAAAGCCAATCCATTAGCAAATAATACAACGGGCTTGGTTTTTATGCTTCCTAAGATGCCACTCTCTGAAAAGCCAGCCAACTCTCTCGTGTTTAAGTGACTTCGTGAATGGGGTTAGTTATGGGATTCCTATGGAGATCGTGTCATATGTGTTCCTTCCTCGGGCACCAGAGCGTGGGAGCCGAGAGCGACTGGGGCCGGGAGCTTGGACTCACACACTGATGGGGATCAGAGGCTTAGGTTTCAGCAAAATCTCCAAAGTGCCTTATCCTCCCTGGTAAGGGGGGGCAGGACTCCATGCCTGCAAGGGTGCCTTTCAGCCTCAGCTCCCAGAACTCAAGATAAAAGACTGCCCCAAAGCCCTCTCCCCGGCCCTCTGCCAGCCCAGCAAGATAGAGAAGCAGGATTCTTTTGTTGGGCTGGAGCCACTTTCCTGCCCTTGATCACAACTTCCTCCCTTTGCTCTGGCTCTTCTCCACACGTGTCACCCGCGGTATCAATGCTAATGGGGTAACCTGGCATCCGAGAATGTTCCAGAAGAGGCGATAATGGAATCCCGAAATCGGCGCCCGGAAAACCAGCCCAGCGGGCCCCCGTGGGAATGGAGGGGGGGGTCAGTGCAGTGCCTTCTGGAGTGTAAGGAAGGTGCCACAGACTTTTAAAGACGGCTTTGAACGTAAGAAAAATGTTCAAAAGGACTGCTTTCTCCCCAATGATAAAGAACGATTCACTTTAGCCTGCGCCGACACACACCGAAGGAACATGCACGGGAAGGAAGAAAGGCTCACTTTCTTCCCCGAGAACACACTCAGAACACCTGGCCCCTGTGTTTTCTGATTTTCAGGTCGTCCCTCGGTGTTTACGAAGCCCCTGTAAGCAGCAGGCGGATGGAATAAGGAATTACTATTGCAGGAGCAGCACCTGTCACAGAGCCACTGCCCCAAGTGGCGACGGGCCTGGGAGAGCACAGCTCGAAGTATTTATGAACTGTAATCTTTCCTAAGTTATTTATGACTCTGCTGGTCTGAGTTTTACCGTAAAAACGGCTGTCCAAATTATTTTTGGACAAGGCCACCGCGCAAGTAGGACTACTTCATTGTACACAAATCTCCTTGGAATTTTACTATCCATCGGCACACAAGTTAGCTTTTACAGGTCATTCCTTACCCGAGGATCAGCGGCCCGCCCGGAGGATAAGCCCCACGGTGGGGAGAATTTGCAACGGGTCTCCTTCTTTTCATGCTGGGGTGGGCCTCAACTTTTGAGACGAAATGGACAAACTCAAGAGGCCTTTGTCAAGGGCCAAAGCCACCACCCAACTCTGCCAGGGAGACTTCCAAGGGGCGCAGCCTCCTCACCTGGCTCCCCAGACGGGCTCCAGCCGGCCACTGGCAAAGCCGTTTTCCAGAACATTAGTACATGCTCCTGTCATGTTTCTTCGTGGTGTGCCTTTGGCCTGGCACTCTGGCGGCTTCGCAAGGAAGCTTCTGGTCCCTGTGAGTGCTGGGCCCTACCTCCTCTTGCCCTTCTGCATTTCCATCCTGGAGACACCTTTCTGACCCACTCGAGTTCACAAGCCTCAACCAACAGTAACAGAAGCCTGACCGAGATCCATTCCCCAGCTACCCTTTCCACGGACAGTATACCCTTTCAGCGTCAATGAGAAGAAAGAGTTTGTCCTTCCTTCCAAGTCAAATCCCTATGTTTGGACTCAGTTTCCAAAGTCCTAAGGCCCCGCATTTTAAAAAGGATGAGTTATGAAATTCCTCATGATATGTCCCCATGAGTGTGGTTTGGGGCCTTCTCATCAGTTTCTGGGCCATCTGGATTTCCTTTCCTGCCAACTGTTTATACCCACTGCCCTCCCCTATTTTTTTTTTTTTTCCAATTGAGTTGTCCTTTTCAAAAAATTAATTTGTAAGCAGTCTTTGTGTATCAGGGACTTAAGCCAATTTGTGTTGCAATGATTTGTGTTGAAAATATTCCTTCGCAGTCTGTCTACATCATGGCTCAGTTTATGATGCCTTTTACTGAACAAGACTTTTCAATTTTTACAAAGCCTAAGGTTTTGGTCTTTTTCTAGTGACTTCTGGATTTCCCACCTAGGTTTTAAAGGACTTCTCCATCCACAAATTATACCTATATTCTCTTAAATGTTTATGGTTTTCTTTTTCTTCTTTGTTTAAATCTGAAACCTACATGCACATTTTTGCAGTAGAAGTAAAGTAGGGAATCCAGTGTGGTGACTTTCTCCTTCCCACTGGACAGGCAGGTACACCACAGTATTTATTAAAACAATTAAGCGTGTTTCCCCCACTAAACTGAAATGCCCCCTTTGTCATATACTAAATTCCTATTATTTACTTAGGTCTGTTCCATGTTATTTTTAAATCACACGTAAAAAAACATACGCACTCATTCATGACTGATGCGTATGGATATCGTATGTATAAACACACATATCAGGTCATTAAGAAGAGTAACAGGTGGACAGACTATTTAGGTCCACCTCCTGCAAATGGGTCTTGGCCTCTGGCATTTCTCGTCCCCGTCTTACACCACCTGTACTAAAAGAGTGCTTGGCCAACAGAAATGGAGCCAAAGAAGAAAGTTATGTTACACTGAGGATGACCTAAATACTGGTTCCTGTTCTCCGGGACAGCGTCTTGAGGAATATTTCTGTGAGCATAGCTGGCTTTACAAGTCTTCACTTTTGGGTTAAAAAAGAGGGCTGGCTGAGGAGCTCGAGGGACAGGTCCACACCTTCCCCCGTACCTCCCAGAAGACGATGAATGAGAAGAAGTGGTTTTCCTGGAATACCGTTGGCTGATCTGGCCTGGTTGTGAGACCAGTCAGAACATTCTAGCAACAGACCCGTTTCTGATGAGTTTGGGGGAAGAGGCCAAGCCCCTCAGGCTGGCCAGGACAGTGGGGCTGTGTTTCCACGAGGCCTTCACCAGCTGCTATAGTGTGGCCGTGAGGACTTCATGGTGCTGCTCTCCCCAACCTTGGAGTTGGGGTCCCACTGTGCTGGGGTCCCACAGTGCTGGGCTGACACCTGGTTCTGTAACCGAGCAGCCACATGACCTGGGCAAGTGAGTCAGCCCCTGTGCTGCAGACTGGACTGTGTCCCCCCCAAAGCCCTAGCCTACCCAAAGTGATAATTGGAGTTGGAGGCTTTGGGGGGTAATTAGGTTTAGATGAGGTCATGAAGGGAGGGTCCCCATGAGGGCACTAGTGTCTTTAGAAGAGATACCAGAGAGCTTGCTCTGTCCGTCTGTCTGTCTCCCTCTGAGAACACAGCAAGAAGACCCTCACGAGGAGCCTGATCGCAGACTTCCAGCCTCCAGAACTGTGAAAGCATACATTTTCAGCATCTCAGCTGCCCAGTCTGTGGTTCTCTGTTACGGGAGCCTGAGCTGACTGCAACCCCTAGCCTCCGCTTCCTCATCTGCAAAATGGGGGAACCCCAAGCCACACCCCATGCCATGACCCTTATAGAAAGGTACTAACAGGTGTACCATCTCTAGGCGGTGCTCACTCACAACAGAGCTATCCACACATTTATATACCAGTCTCATCAGACTGCAAACAGGAAAGAAGTTTCAGGGTACATGCAGGCCAAACCTGTCTGATGAGGCACAGGGCACGCCCAGGTTTTTCCGGGGAAACGCCGTGCGAGGGCGACCCCCGGTGGTGGAGCAGGGAACTGCCCAACCGGCTGTCTCATCTGCCCCCATGGACACACACCTGTCTCGGTCCCAGAACGCTGGCGCCCTCTGGTGGTGAAAAAGGAAATACGCTTTGTTTTCAGTCCGTCTTCATTTCTGCAGGAGCAAGAAAAAAAAAAAAAAAAATCAGATTTTGAGGAGACCGTGACAATTTTTGCTGTGACTATATAATGCCGAGCCATGCGGAGATAAGGGAGAACATTCCACCAGGAAGGTGTCTGGGTCCCTGCAGCTACTATGTCAGCACAGCCCTTGCCTACTAATTGCACTGATTATGCTCTGAAGTCTTTGGGGAAAAAAAAATGTCCAGAGGAGGTGATCTAATGCTGGCATGGCCAATGGTGATTTCCATTCTTGAGCTTTCCATTACAGGCAGGTGGCAGCATTTCTGTGCCTGGCAAGAAGGCCCATTCCAGTCGCTGCTCCACATCACACACTCTCACCTGGGGGTGGGGGTGGGGGTTCCCTTTTGGGGGTCAAGTCCTGCTAAGAAGTGGGCTTCAGCAAGTGAAATAGGGAGGCTGGTCTCCAGGACCCCAAAGGCAAGCTGTGCTCATCCTCAGATTTTCATCTTTTATTAGACGGCTCTGGGACTGACTTATTTAAGGAGGTGCATTTTTTGGCCAAAACTTTAGAACAGAATGACAGGTTAGGGTGATGTGAGAAGATCTTCCAGGAGCCCTTAAAAATTAGAAATGGAAGGATGTTGTTACTGGTGAATTGTGACTCCCCTTCCAATTTATGTTTTGAAGTCTTTTTTTTTTTTAAGATTTTATTTATTTATTTATTTGTCAGAGAGAGAGAGAGCACACAAGTGGAGGGGCAGGAGAGGGAGAAGCAGAGTCCCTGCTGAGCAAGGAGCCAGATGTGGGGCTCGATGCCAAGATCCTAGGATCATGATCTGAGCCCAAGGCAGACGCTTAACTGACTGAGCCACCCAGGCGCCCCTATGTTTTGAAGTCCTGACCCCCAGGAGCTCCGAATGTGACTGTAATTGGAGGCAGGTCTTTAAAGAGGTAAACAAGTTAAAATGAGGCCATGTGAGTGGGCTCTAAGCTAGTCTGACTAGTGTCCTTCTAAGAAGAGATTTGGACACAGGCATGCACAGCGGGAAGACCACGGGAGACATGGGGAAAAGCCAGTTCTATGCAAGCCCAAGGGAGAGGCCTCAGGGGAAACCAGCCATGCTGTCACCTTAACCTCGGATTTCCCGCCTCTGGGCATGCGGGGGGAATAAATGTCTCCTCTTGAAGTCCCCCTGCCCCTCCCGGGCCTGCGGTGCTCTGTTAATAGTCGCCCTGACAAACTGACAGAGACACCGGCCCACGGGGCTGCCGGACTGAGGTCACACATGCATTCTGGAACTTGCCAGAGCCTCCATGCTTACTTGCCAAATTGGTTTCTGGAAAGATCCAGGGTTTTGAGTTGCCTGCAGGTCCACTTCTCTTGAGGTGGCAGTGCCACGAGCTGGTTTCCCTGTAACCTCAGGAACATGAGGGCCTGGAGAGAGAGAGAGAGAGAGACGCAGAGACACCATCAAACACCACAGGGAGAAGGGTCAGCTCCCTGAGACAATGCAGCAAAATGATGACAACCGATTCACCTTCGTGAAGATTCCAACAGCGTTGAGCTCAAGAGCCTTTTAGAACTCGCGAGATTATACCCAACGCAGCAAACAGGACCGTCTGTACACAATCCTTCCCTCCCGATCAATGCGAGGCAGTTATTCCAGAATGAAAGGAGGACAAGTACGTCTCAGTGTTGGGCCCTCTGAAGAGTGACAATTATGCCCGGGCCTGTCCGGGGAGCAGCAGCTAATGCTGAGGGTCCTGGGGGCCGAGGTATCACACGGGGGAGGGACTGCAGCACACTGTGGGGCGCCCCTGCCTCCCATAACCTCCTCAGGTGATACCCTGGGCAGGGGAGGGTGGCGGGGACACCTGGTGTCCCCTGCTGGCCTGGTGCCCCCTGCTGACTCCCTGGCCACTGGCCCTCTGTCCACCCACCAGGGACTGCGGGGGACAAGCTCCGTCCTTGGACTTGTCACATATTTTACCTTAGTGGGTGCATAGGGGGCACCCTGCAACCTTTCTCAACACCTTCCCTAGGGACACGGACTCTCCTGTCCTCGGTGGCCGTGGCTCAGGAGTGCGAATGGATTCCCCCCACCACTTTGTACTCCTTACCCATGCCCTCGCCTCTCCCCTGTCAAGGGGGGGGTCCAGGCCTTCCCCACCGTCACAACCAGTTTGTCACCCAATGTCTCACAGGGCCGTGCACGCGCCAGGCTCCAGAACCCTGGGGTCGTGCAGGGCCTCCCAGCACCCCCATTCGAAGGGGGAGGCCCATGAGCAAACACAAGGTCCCACAGGGCCAAGTGGTAAAGTCCTGGACAACATTCTTTCCCTCAGGATCTCCTGCTTCTGGCCTCAGTGGAAACCAGAAAACCCAGTCAGCACACGGCTGGCGTGAAATGAGGAAACCGACCCAGAGCAGAGGACTCAACTCATGGCCAGGGGGGCCTCTGAGGGTAGCAGTGACCTATGCCCTCACCTACCAGGGCCCCACCTGATGTGTGCACGCCTCGGGGCCTGAGACTCAATTGCCCTGCTTCCTGAGAACACACAGATGGAAGGTACCTTCCTGGCCCTTTAGGGGTCCCTGAACACGAGGGGAAGCTGTGCTTCTCCCTGCACGAGAACCTGTGGGGACCCATGAGGCTGGCATGGCAGGACGGGGGGCTGAGGTGTGCTCGGGTGCCTTCAGCCAACGCTGGTCAGGCCCTGAGCCGGGGCGGCCCTGGGTGCCAAGAGATGAACAGGAGCTATGCTCGCCTTCAGGGGCTCCCGTCTGAGTGGGGAAAACAGACGGATCAGCAAAGCACCTGAGACAGGAAAGCAGTCCCAGGTGGATGGGTTGGGGGGACATGGGGTTCTGGAAAAAGGCACTTTCTTGAGCTCACAGCCAAGGAAGATTCTGAGCCCCAGGAATTCCAGTTCTGTCACCTCTGGGGAGGGAGGTGGGCAAGAAGCTCCTGCCCCACAGTGCTCCCTCAGCTTTGCACACCGGTAGGCCTTGAGGGGGTGGGGGAGGGGTGGGACCCGGGTGTGAAAGACAGAGGCCGGAGAAGGCCAGACATGGCTGCGGAGCTATGCTCATGCTTTTCAACAACGAAGAGTCCTAGAGGATGAAAACCTATGCTCTACCTTTCCCTCACAGAGCTGTTTTCATGCTGCTCACTTCCTCCCAATCTGTGCTCATAAACAAGCACAATTTTGAGAGTTGAACCTTTTTTTTTTCTTTCTTTCTTTCTTTTTTTCTTTCTTTCTTTTTTTTTTTTTTGGTCTCAGCAGCTCAGGAAAAGCCAACAGATTGTACTGCGACGTGGACTGATTTCCTCACAAAAGCCGACAATGAGAAAGAGAGGGCCATGAGGCTTACGTCAAGCTGGAAAAGCCCCAGGGGAACTTCCTTGAGAGCATTTTCTGAGAAATCCACATCCCGCAGGTGGTTTTTCCAGAAGACAGCCATCTTGTCCGGTAGAGATTCCAGGGCATTTCTGGATGCTTTACAACATTTCTAGGAGTTTGACGAGAAAGAGAAGGAGATATTAATTTGCTTTTGAAGTGCAGTGAAAGACCTTTTCCAAAACTGACGTAAAAAATCAGAACTCGACAGCTAAGGCTCTGTCATAAATACAACACGGTTACGAGGCTACAAACTGTCATGTCCCGTGTTCCTGTCCTTGCTCCAAGGAAGGGACGGGAACGGTTTCCTGAGGGGGACCAAGGTGGCTCCTGCTCCTATCCCTTCATTCCAGAACATCTGGCCCATTGTCCTTGGAAATAACGGCATCATTCAGGATCAAGCTCTAGGGACGAGCGGGTTTCCCACACACATCTGTTGAAGCCAGAAAGCACATGCGAGCGATGGAGAGTTTCTTGGTTTGAAACCAACAGCAATAACACATAAATATTCTTTATGCCGGCCCATCTGTTTTAACAAGCAAACTTCCCCAGAAACAAAAACACCATTTAATTGGCAGGGAGGTGGAGGCGAATTATTTCTTCTTCTCTTCTTTGTTCTTATTTCACAGCTCGTGGAAAGGAACCACACAACCCCCCCCACCCTTGGGGCAGAACTCCTCCTATGCCAGATGGGCAGGCTGTAATGGTGGAAAGTTCTATGGGGGTTACGGCAGGAATCTCAAGCCGGGAGCTGGGCCTGGGGTGGGGGGAGGAGAGGAGGCAGGGCTGGCTTTCAGGTGAGTCGCCTAAGACACTCAGGGGCTCGATGCCCAGTGACACCTCTGAGTGGTAACAAGGGAACAGCAGTGCTGCTACCCAACCTGGTCACCAAGAGGAGGAAGTGAGACAGAGCCCTGACCAGAGCTCCGGTGCACCTGAGATGCTGGCTTGACCGGCCTTTCCTGATTTCTGGTACAATACTCACCAAAGGGCAGGCCCAGGCGTCTGGAAACACCTTCAGGTTATTTCTGGAGACGTTCAGAAAACTGAGGGACTTGAAGCAGTGGAGGAAAAGTGCAGGGAGTTCCGTCAATTTATTGTCAGAAATATCGAGTTCCTGCAGCTTCCGCAAACCGATCCAGTTAGTGGCTGGGGAGAAAGAAAATCGTAACGCGGTAAGAAGACGACGGCCAAGAACAAAACGACGACTGAGGTCGGTGCCGATGATACAACGTACCACCTTCTTCTTCAAACAGTTTCTCTAAGTAGTTTTTGGAAGCTGTCAGTTTTTGGAGTTTGGAGAGGTGCAGGAATCCCGGCGGGAGGTACGGTAATTTGTTGCTGGAAATGTCAATCTCGAGGAGCCTGTGGTTGGGGAGGGAGGCAGGGCATCAGAAGAAAGAGGAAAGGCATCCCTGCGACATGTTTCTCTGTATTTCCCCTCATGCAGTGCTGAAGAGCGTGCACTGAAAATGTCTTTTCATCCCATTAACTGTTACCATGTCCCGCAGAGACAAAGAAAATCACATGTGTCTTTGGTGGGCCCTGGTCTCACTGACCAGTAGGGATGCAAACCTTTCTCAGGAGATGATAGCAAAGTCAGCTGGTGCCCTCGAAGCTGCTGGAAGGACACAGGGCTGTGTTTCGAGCCACCTGGACCCCCACGGCTTGCCCTGGCTGAGGACCCCACACAGAAGGCCCTTGTTCTTGAAATGTTTGTGTGGGGTGGGGCCTTCTTCCCCATGGCTTACTTCCTGACCCTGTGCCCTGTGCAGCATTCTCTCTTAGCTCACTCTAAGTGAAGCCTTAGCTTTTGAACTTGGCTCAAATCCTTACAGAGTGAGGATCACCGCCCGTCAGCAAAGGTAAGGCCCTTCCCCTTCTCATGGAGCTCCAGGGTCCATGCTCAGGCTTCCTCCCAAGGCCTCCCGAGAAAGGAAACTAGGAGCTGCCCACGCCATCCACCCGCTGCCAGAGCGCTTTCAGGGTAACTCTTTCTGGGAGGCCCTTCCCACTGTCCCTGGGAGGTCAAATAAAAACGGGCGCCCCTGGGCCTCACTGTGTCCCCCAGGCAGGCGACGTCCAGCCTCCTTGGATTTCCGTCTGTAGGACCAAGAGGGGACATCTTGGGTGAGCAGCGGGCACGGCCACCATGCACAGTATAAGGTTGGGCCGCGACAAACCGTCCCCCCCAGACGTCTCTGCATCCTCCTCGAAAGGAGGGGGGACCGTATTCCTCGGAACTGTGTAAGGGCAGCAGAATTCCCCTCCTTTTACGGAGAACTGGATTTCCAACCACAAACTCTGATTCAGGAGTACGTAGCAGGAGGACTGGGAGGAGCGGGGGGTCGTGCTGGGTTCGGAGGTCCCCGTGCACACCCCGAGGGGCCTGCGAGGGGGCGGGTGCCCACCTGGAGCAGATGATTTCGTCCGATGACTGCACGGCAGGCAGCTCCCCCAGGTGGTTCTTGGAGAGGTTCAGCTTCCGGAGGTTGATGAGTCCCCAGGGGATGACGGAGGGGAGGGAAGCCAGGCAGTTGGCAGAAAGGTCCAGCTCCGTGATCTGGCAGGAGATGTCTATGAGCCAGTCGAGATCTACCCAGGGCAGCTTGAGGTGGGCCCACTTCACACGGAGAGCCTGGGTTTGGAGAAAGGGGAAAAGCCCCCTTGGGCGGGAAGCCCAGGGGCCAGTGTCGCCTTAGAATAGAGCAATGATTTATTCGACTGTGCGTCTGTTTCTGTTCATCTCAGCTGGAGTCCCAGGGTGTCAGGACCTTGGCCACCTTGTGGCTGGCACTGGGGGGGGGGGGTGTGTGTAACCTATTTCCATCCGCACCTGCATCTCACAAGTGACCTCTGCAAAACTTCGCCCCCCAACTCTCCAGCCTCTAGGGGGAACCCATTTGTGGGGGTGGGGGGGTCCATGAATGTTCCCTCTTCCAGGGCCGGAATCCGCGGGAATGACACCTGTTTTGTACAGAGCCACCCATGCTTGGAGGGGTTTCCCTCAGACTGGAGAAAAAGACAGAAGACCCAACTTGGGTCTCCCAACCCCCCTGAGAGGGGCTGCCGCTTGCAATACGGCGGATCCCACACTGGGAGCTTGTGGATGGGCTGCTTCCAGAGTGAGAAGAACCAAATACACAGACAGTGGCCAGGCCGTATATAAAAAACAGAACTTTGACACGCCACGTGTGGCAACCTGCCTGGGAAACTAACCCCCTTCTCTACAATAATGAGCCCAGGAAGCCAGCCCGCTCTGAGCCAGACTTGTAGGGAGCCACACCACCATGGCTAGCACCGATCCAGTAACTTCTGTAACAATCAGCCCCAAAGGGCCAGGAATCACAGGCAGATTCCCCAGTCTTTGTCCCCACATCCCACTTAAATGAGCCAGAGGAAGCCAAAGTGCTCCCCCAACCAATCACACAGGACAACCTCCCTTCTCGTGAGCTGTCTCCAGCTTCCCCATTGATGGCCCCCCAGGGTGGGGGGGGGCCAACCTGAGGCTTCCCTTTTCTCCTACCAGAAAGTGTTCCCACGGCTCTGCCAAAACGCAGGAGAGGGTAGCTGACTCCCTTGCTACAGCAAACTTGGAATAAATTGCCTTTGCTTTTCTCATTTGGTTGGCCTTCGTTTATTTCCACAAGAGGGAGTCAGAAAGGCCAGTGTGGTGGGGTGTGGTGGTTAAATACACATGAGCAGGGTTTTTCTCTTTTTTCTGTATTCTCAAAGGATTGGGTCTCAATTCGGTTTCTGGGGGCAGGAAATCAGCTTTTTGGCTTGTTTCTCCAAAGCAACTGGAAGTCCATATGAAACAAAAAATCAGTGCTTGGCCAAAGGGAAAATGTTACAACCATTGTAACAACCAAGCCAGGGGCCTGGCGGGGCGGGGGGGGGGGGGGGGGGGGGGGGGGCGGGGGGCGGAGCCGGGACCAATAACGTGGGTTAAGTTTTGGGTTCAGAATAGGCAGCAGCAGGCACGCTTCCTTATGTGGCCACTAGATGGCGATGTGTGCCTGGTCTTTATCTCCTTAGCAACGCTGCCCGGATTGGAATGCGTGGGTCTGGGACACCGTCTCCAAACTCTGGTCTCGGACCCAGGAGGTGAAGGACTCTGTCTTGTCTCCCCATTCACCTGGATGGAGACGGACAGGTGAGGCTCTGTTGGATTTGGAGTCAAGAGAATGAAGTTTTAGCCTCAGCTGATTTTTTTAAAAAAGACAAGGTCACTCTACTGCTGCTTCCCTTGTCATTACGGTTTTCCCCACACTTTTTTATTTTGAAAAATTTCAGAACTGCGGAAGAGCTGAACTTTGTGAATATACATGAAATGCCCTTCATTTAGATTCCACTGTTAACCTGACATCACATTTGCTTTCTCTCTTTTTCCTCCATACACACCACTTTTTTTTTTAAGATTTACTTATTTTAGAGGGGGAGGGGCAGAGGGAGAGAGTCCCAAGCAGAGTCCATGCTGAGCATGGAGCCTGCACAGGGCTCGACCCCGTAACCTATGAGATCATGACCTGAGCCAAAACCAAGGCTCAGATGCTTAACTAGCTGTACCCCCTGGGGTTCCCCATACTCTTCCTTTTTTGCTGCATCGTTTCCAAGTAAATCATAGCTATTGTGGCACTTCACCCCAGAATACTTCAGCATGTGTCTCTACAGAACAAGAATATTTTCCTACTTGACTGCCATATACTGATCATTTTCAAGAAATGAAATCAATACAATATTATCAAATCCACCGTCCATGTCCACATAGTCCCAGTTATCCCAAAGGGTCTTTTTTGACTATTTTGTGTCCTGATTCAGGATCCCATCCAGAAGCACACATTGCATGTCCCTCTACTTTAACCTAGAAGAGTCCTCGTGGCTTCTTAAAGATTTTATTTATTTATTTGGCAGGGAGAGAGATCACAAGTAGGCAGAGAGCAGGCAGAGAGAGAGGGGGAAGCAGGCTCCCCGCTGAGCAAAGAGCCCGATGTTGGCTCGATCCCAGGACCCTGAGATCATGACCTGAGCCGAAGGCAGAGGCTTAACCCACTGAGCCACCCAGGTGCCCTGAGTCTTTGTGGCTTCTTATGTCTTTTTCAACACTGGCAATGCAGTTTTTCAAGTCATTCCAGCGGCCTTGTAGACTGCCCCAGAATCTGAATTCACTCAGTTGTTTCCCTTCGTGTTCAGATTCAAGGGAAGCATTTTTGGCAAGCATCTCAGACAACCCTGAGTCCTCTCAACAGAACGTCACCATAGGTCACCTGCTGTCAGCTTGTTCTGCTACTGATGATGCCAAGTCCGCTCCCTTGTTGAAGGTAGTGTCCGTCGGACCCCCCCCCCGCCGACCTTTGTAAAGGTGCATTTTACTCTGTGATTCGTAAGCACGGGTAGAGTGATATTCTGAGTGATATTCTGTCTTGTGTTCCTACATCATTTCACCCAGTGGTTTCAGTGGCCATTGTTGAGCCTAGCCTGGCTCAGTCAGTACGTTGATGGTTACAAAGCAGTGATTTTCCTAAAACTACCATTCCTTCTGCATTTGTTACCTGGCATTCTTCTGTACAGAAGGGGGGCTCCCTGCTCCTTTTAAGTATTGCTATGGAGTCATGGATTCTTTCTTTATTCTAAGTGTTACAATTATTATTATCATTATGTCTTTTGCCGCTCTGGTCACCCCCAGTTTGGCCAGTGGGAGTCCCATCAAGGGGGCTCCTGTGTTCCTTTGACATATTCCTACCTGTTTGGGATATTTCCTTACTTCCTGGCAACATCGGACACCCCCGTTTCTGTTGCTTTCCAAGCCCCAGCCCCCAGAATCTGCCCTGATTCCCTTGAGCAGAAAATGGTATTTAGAAACTAGAATCTGGGTGCTAGGTGTGCCCACTGCTGCTGGGGTGTCGCTGCTTCTCAGCGGATCCGACACAGCTCTGTATTCCACAGGAGTGAATCCTGATGCCTGAAGTTCAAATCCAGACACATGGGCTTCTTCCTAATCTTTCTATAATTCATAATTGCATCACCCTTGGTCTGGTTATTGTTGGTTTTCATTTGTCAAAGAAGTGGTTGGGGCCAGATGATGTCTAGGTCACTTCTGGACCCAGGATTGTCCCTGGCTTGTGTGCTGAGAAGGACAGTGTTCCCCTGGAGGGAGCCTTGGGATCAGCATGATGGCCGACCCAGGGGCGGGCTGAGAGGAAGGTTCCAGGCTCTGCAATGTCCAGTCAAGGAAGGCCCTCCAAGGGCCTGGTGGCCTCCTCTTCCTGGGTTCTTGGAGACACACACCGGTCCCGGGCCCAGGTCTAGAGAGCTGGGCACAAAGCCAAGAGGCCCAGATCACAGTCTGACTCTCCACTCACCCTGTGTGCCCATTTCTGGTCATTCAACACCAAGGGGATCTGTCTTGGACTGACCCAGCAGCCGAAAGGAAGCTGAAAAGGAGGCTGGTTTTGATTTTGATTTTTAAGACACATCTTAGATGTCTACGGAAAGTCTTATAAATCAAATGACAGGACCATCAAAAATCCTAACAAACCGGAAATGAGCCCGATTGCGGTCTCTCTCCTGCATTTCTGTCATGTTCTGGGAACCCTGACCTGCAGCCTATAATCCCATTAAGAGCAAGGGCTCGACCTCAGGAGCCCTGAGCCCGGCGTCTGCCTGCCTAGCTCTACGTGGGTCCTCGGGTAAGTTGTAGCAGACGTGGACACCTTCTCGGGCTCTGTCTGGCTCGTCCCCCCTTATAGGATCCCACCTGCTGATTTTGCTCCGCATTAACTCAGACTTGGGGCTCATCCCCTGTGCCCCAGGAGGCAGTCCAGAGCCCAGCCAGTGGGCACCTGCTGCACAGAGCCTTGACCGACAGTCTCAGGTGGTCAGCAGCGTGCCCTGCGTGCGGCAGACACTAAATAAATGCTTGTGCACTGGCCCAGAATCCAACCACTGAGAACCTCGATCCGTCCATTCACACCTCCAACCCAATCGATCGCCGGAAAATGTCACAACCCTTCAGCCTTTCCCCACCTCCCCCACCTAGGCTGCCTGCAGCAGGGCTCCCGAATTCCTTCCCTGGGGAGCCCCCACACCGCCAGTCTCCCCAGCCACTTTCCAGCTGTCTGCCTCACCGTCTCCTCCCTGCCCTCTGCTTGCCCTCTGCGTCCCCGCTGGCAGAGGGCTTGCAGAGTTAATTCATTGTAGGTAGAAGTGACTGGGGGATGGGTGAGCTGCCAAGAGCAGAGGAGTCAAGGCCAAGGAAAAAATGTCAATGAAACACAGAAACTGCCTGTTCATGAAGGAAACACAGGCCTCAGAATGCGGACCCGACGCTGAGATTCTCAGGTAGGCTGTGGGGACCCAGGGAGTGTGGCCTCACCGTCAGCAACTGACCGGCCCATCTGCCAGGGGGGCTGGCTGGGGAGCTGCCAACCTTCCCCCGGGAATGTGTGTGGTTTGGCAATGCTTGGACACTGTGGGAAGCACAAGGCTGGTGGGCCTGGAGCTAAGAGAGCTATTCCTGAAAACCAGCCTCGTTTTGACGGGGGGTGTCATGAGGTCTCTCGAGGGTCCGAGCTTCTGCAGGCCTGGCTGGCCTCTGCTTTCACACCCAGGTCTGTCCCTGCATTGGCTCTGCACCCT